AGGGATGTGCCACCACACCCAGCTAATTTTTGTCTTTTTGGTAGAGACAAAGTTTTGATCAGGTTGGTCTCCAATTCCTAACCTCAAGTGATCCATCGGCCTTGGTCTTCCAAATAGCAGGAATTATAGGCAGGAGCCACTTTGCCTGGTCACAAAATAAACGTTCTAACTTAATTGAGACCCGTCTCAGATATTCTGTGTTCACACCCTCACAGTCCCAAGATCTGGGTGGGGTTGCTGCCTCTTGGGGTTCGCTTCTTGCTCAGGGCCTGTTTGCCCCCCCACTTCCCTCTGCCCCAGCCTCAGGGAATGAGGCTGAGCTGGGTGTAAACAGAGGTCCCCTGCCCCAGGCCCTGCGCTTTCCAAAGATGGAGACATGGCCACCCAAGTGCAGCCCAGGCAGCCTCCCTCCTCTGAGGTCCCGCTGCAGTCACACTGTCTCCCTCCCTCCCTCAGGCTCTCACTGAGTTTGCTTTCTGCCTCTGTAGCGTCCATCCAGCCTCCACAGGTAGGTACTCGGCCATGTGTGAGGGCTGATTCTCTGAAAACCTTGACTCCCCGCAGTGGCTTGGGTGCGGGGGAGGCCGGGCAGCATGGGTGGGCTATCTGTGGATGGGAACCAGGTGGGCGATGGAGCGGCAGGTTCCCTGCACAGGGGGCTCTCCGAGTTCCCTGCTTGGGTTCTGGTCCTGATGTGGGATCTTCTGCCCTTTCTGAACTGAGTCCCAACTCACCTGGCTGGCTCTGTGGCTTTCTCCACCCGGCTCAGTGGCTGTTCTTCCACGACTTTGCACAGATACTGCCCTTTAACTCCTGGAACCTGCTCATGAGGCAGCCAAGCCTCACAATGAGATCCTCCTGGCCAGAGCTGGTGCAGCAAGCTTAAGGGGATGCCTTGTACAGATGCTAGTGAGATGGGTCCGCAACACCAGGTGGGGCCCCGTAGTCCACAGCCTGCAGGATTCCCTGAAAACACTGTCGGAAAAATGTATTTACAGGTGTAACTATTTTTTTAATTCTGAAGCTAATATATTAGATGTTTTGGTCAATATATTCATTTGTTTCTTTCTTTTTAACAAAAGCATAGTATTTTCTTTCATGGTTGAACTATGGCTCATTTTACTGTTGCCTTCTGTGAATAGTCTCATTTGTTTTTGAATTCTTACACACTGTAGCAAATGACCTTGTAGGGATCATGTATCCAGATAGCCATGTGCACTACTTAAAAGCAGAATTGTGAAGTCAGTAGTTATTTTAAAATTGTTTAGATATTGACAAATTGTCCTCCAAAAGAACATTGTAACAAGTTTACTCTCACACCAAGAATACACGCATTCTACACCCTTGCCATTCTGAACTCTCATTCTTTGCTAGTCTAAGAAGTAAACGATGGTACATCTCACTGCCGTGTTTTGGATTTCTCAACGTTATTAGAGGATTTTCAAAGGTCTGGGAGTTTTCTGAGTTTAGATGATCTGCAGACCCCAGATTAGACAGCCGGGGACAGTGGCAGGGAAGACTGAATTCCCAGCTGTGCACTGGGGAAACTGTGGTCAGCTGGGGCCAGTCCCTGCCACCCGCATGCCTGTGAATGGTTAGCCGCAGGTCCAGTGCTCAGTAGTCCACGGGCCAGTGCCCGTCATGTAGGACTGCACAGCCCCTCGGGAGACCCTAGGCAAGCTGACCTAGGCCCTGAGCTCCAGCAAGGAGGGAAGGTGAAAGAGGAAGGGAAAGACAGACAGGTGTAGGGTGTTGTTAGGGGACAAGGTTGGATACAGCAGGGGGAGGAGAAGAGGGTGGGAGAAGAGGATTCAGGATTCTATTGGTTTGATGAGAAATGGCATAACTCTAAGACAATCCCATTCATGATAACTACAAAGAATAAAATACACCCTTGACAAAAGCAGGAAGCTGGAGCCCAGGAGGTGGAGGCTGCAGTGAGCCCTGTGCTGCAGCCTGGGTGACTGAGTGAAACCCTGTCTCAAACAAACAAACAAACAAACAAACAAAAAACACACACCTAAAGAATTATACATTACCTTTTGTCTAGGAGGCAACTTTCATAAGATTATAATCAATGACAAAATAAATGTATCAATAGATTAAATTTCTTAACGTTAAAATTTCTGCACATGAAAACATTTGGCCAAATAAAAAGGCAAACAAGCAAGCAGGAACCTATGATCTGCATTTGAGAAAGTGCATGGGCAGGGACGCATGTCTCAATAGGCGGATGCAAGTTGTAAACCATCAGTTTGAAGAGAGAATCAAACAGCTAATAAACATGTGAAACCTAAGTCCAAAAATAAGAAAATGCATGTTTAAGTTAATTAATGTCTTCCTTGTTGGAGAAAACAAAAGAGCAAGTGCATCAGGTCAAGATGAATGAACTGTTGCTGGAACCAAAATTGTGCATGTGTGTGTGGTGTGCACAGGGGTGTGTGTGTGCAGAAAAAAATACCTCTGCACATTAACACGGTAATTCTATGTTTTTCAAGAAGCCACCCTACGACATTGGTAGCAAAAGTTGTCCAAGACTGATTTTCAAATGCATATACAAACTCTGGGCTCTAAGCCCATCGGGGGACTGCAGACTCCCTTCCTCACCTTCAGAGCGGCACTCCATGCTGTGTGTTGGGAGGGGACCAGACTGGAGTCAAAGGTCAGGGAAAGGGGCACTGGCCTAGAGACCAGGAGTCAGCTTGGGGCACACCTGGGCCTCCTGGAGCTGTCGGCGAAGAGGGAGAGCGGGTCCTCCTGGACAAGGGCAGCGGAAAATGGGTCTCTGAGGTGCCTGCAGGGCTGAGCCACCCGAGTCCACTGATGGGGATGCAGGGAAGAGCTGGTGTCTCTCTCCCCAGAGGGAGGAGCAGATAGGAGAGAGACGGGGAGGAGGTGTGAGAACCTGACACTTTAAAATCCAAGGAGTCATGGGCAGGAACCTCCCCCAACCCACCCCCGCATACCCCACCCCCCAACCCTCACCAGGCAGGCCAAGCCTGAAGGCAAAGAGGGGACAAGTAAGGAGTCCCAGCAGGAATGAAACCCTGGCCTCCTGTCACTCAAAGCTGTTTCACAGGAGGAGGGAAGGATGGAAATAAACAAGCACCGCACCTCTTTTTATATAAGCTTTCAGGTTTATTGTGGACAAGATTCATGAACATACGAGCTCTGCATATATAACCAGGTGTTAGGTGCTATCTGGCCTGGGTATAAAGCAAAACCAAAACAAACCAATTAACACTAAAAACTCCCAACAATTTCATGTTGTCAGGAAGCTTACTTTACAAAAATAAGCTTAACCAACACTGATAAGGCTGATATTCTAGATGCATCTTCAAGGAAGGCCTCTGCACAAGGGACAAGGGAGCCGGGACCAGACTGGCTCCCTCTGAGCTCTGAGGCCGAGCGTCCTGCACCGAAGGCCTAGGAAAGGCAAAGACCAGGGGGCAGCAGCACCCTGTGCCTTCCAGAAGTGCAGGGGACGAAGCGTGGGACGCCAGATGGAAGTGGGAGAGGATGGAAGTGCCAAGAGCAGAAAGGCCGCCCCCTCCCGAAGATCAAGGGACACAACACTGTCAATGTGCTGCCATCTGCAGGGAATTCTACTGTCCCAGCCAAACCAGTCCCGGAGCAGGACAACAGACAATGGCTTGAGACGGAAAATATGGAAACTCCTAGAATGACTACAACTGTAAATTATCCTACCATGACTGGACTACTGTGGAGAAGAGTTTGCTGCAAAGAGACTAAAATGATTACTGAGGTTTTTAAGTAAAATAATAGAATGGGACACAAGAGCAAAGCATTAATGCGTCAGCCATTCTAGGTCCCACTGTCACAGTGTTCAGGAACTGGTATTTCTGAGATGTGTCACATGCTTACAAAGGCACCAAGCTCCTCAAATAGGGAATCTGTACCTTTAAATGCTGCTCAGGGACTCAAGGTCACAGAGTACCAGAAGCGAGAGGGGCCACCCACGCCTGAGTCAGTAACCATTTCACACCATTTCCAAAGCACTTCCCTCTAGATGCCAAGGCAGATGCTAAGTCAGATGAATACCTGCTCTGCCCTGAGCCCAAAGGATGCCCAAGGTTCACTCATGTTCAGCTGTAAGGGCACTTGACAGAGAAGCTATTCGAAGTCTCAGATCTCACCCAGTTCTCACTGTCCTCATCTGCTGTGGACAAGCAGGAAGATGCAGTCTCCTGCCTGTCCCAGCAGGACCGAACATACACATGGTTTCCTGTAGATCTCACACTCTCCAAAATCCTGGGCATATGTAAACATCTACTTATAAATAAATAAATATTTATTTACTTATAAATAAATACTGCTATATATCTCTAAAATTATCAAATAAGACAGACTGGCCCCTTGAGAAGCTGCCAGCCATCAAACCCTGGTCCAGTCACAAGGATTGAGAGGAGGCCTGGAATGCAGTCACTGCCTCCCACAGAGGGAGGATTTCTCCCTCCGTCATTACTTATATTTCTAATCATTTGTGACTGCTGGTTGGCATCCAGGCAACCCAGGTAAACAGCCTAGTACGTGCATTTCCTAGAGTTTTTCCATGCTTACGTCATTATAAAAAATCGGAAAATAGAAATATGTATATCATATGATACTAAGAAATGCAAATTATTCTCCACTTAAGGTGGGGAAAAGCCCCAATAATCATATCTTAAAACTCAAAACTCTAAGTCGAACCCTCATAACTCCACATACTCATGACTTACTATGGGGCTATGTCTTGAACATCTCATCATTAAGTCGAAAATATCCTAAACTAAAAATATAGGTAATAGCCAGATCATCCAGTTCCAAAGTTAAAAAACTATAAGGCAAACCATTGTTGCTGTGCGGCATCTGAAATTAGATGTAATTAAATGCACACACCAGCAGAGATGGAGCCTACAATATAAGAAATAGAAAAAAAGACTTGTCTCAGGATGAAGAACTGAAAATAATGACATCTTAAAACCACTTTTTTTCTTTTTAAATGAGACTGAGTTTCACGGTGTTGCCCAGGCTGGTCTTGAACTCTTGAGCTCAAGTGATTGACCTGCCTCAGACTCCCAGATTGGAGGGATTACAGGCATGAGCCAACGCATGTGGCCTAAAACCACCCTTAATACGCAAACGTATAACTCTACGCCACCAAGAATCTTATATAAATCTCCGAAATTTGCTTATCACAGTCAATATTCCATAAAAATTACTCCACGTGCATTGACAAAGTTGTAAAACCTCAGGTAAGCTGCACCGTATTGGATAGTAGGTTGTTGAGGCAATGGGTCAAGTACTGAACTGTTTCCTCCAGGCTTCTTCCCTTTGTGGGAGAAAAGGTAAATGAGGGAAGCTCTGGTTTCCTGAAGAGATTCTTTCACAGGCAGGACATAGCAGAGCCTGCGTCACCTTCTTCATAGAGAAGCTTTTCGGGGCCACCAGTTAGTCCTGAATTGTTTCCTTTGCACGTCCTTCTTCCGGTGTTGCCGAGGCATCCAGCAAGGTGTTGACTGAGAAGAGAGAAAAGGAGACTGAGGGTCTTGATGCTCCAGGGACAATCAGCCCAGGATCGGCATAGGACCCCGCACTTTCAGCACTGAATGCTCCAGAAGAGCTCTCTCAGCTATGGGGACAGCAGGTAGGACACTGTCGCTATTGCCTGCCCTCCTGCTATGTCTCCAGGCACAACACACGTACTCTCAGTGGGGTCAGCATCATTCACTGGAACCTGCAGCCTCCTCCTCTGACACCCTTCGGCTTCTGCCTGTCCCTGTAACACACAGTGGGGAAGGCTGTGATCAGTCAGGAGTCCTGCAGTCCAGTACTGACCCCGACCCCCAGCCCTGACACCTGCAACACTTCCCCTCTCGGGTCTCCATGGAGATGGAGATAACCCTCTAGTTCTGCATAGCTCTCGGGCTCTATGTGACAGTGGCTCATTGAGACATAAGTGACATGCAGTAAATGCTCACTGTGTAAGTGTTCTGCCCAGCTCTGACTACTGTATACACTGGTGTAATCATCCCCTGATCAAGACACAGAACATTCCCACCGTTCCAGAAAGACCCTTCTGCCCCATCTAACCGATACCACCGACCCTGACAGGAGAAGATTACTTCCTTATAGGATTTTTACCAGCAGAAGTCTCAGCAGAAGACTATATATGAGGGCACCCAGGAAAATGTAACAAAATGATTCATTCCAAGACTGTAAATGATCTTGGATCATTAATACTGCACCATATCAATAGGGTAATTAAATAAAACATCAGGCTCTATGGAGGCTGGAAAGACATTTGGTAAAATTAAACACCAATTCTTATTTTTTTCTAAACCTTTAGATTAGTAGGCTGTATTCCTGATGAGGAGAATTTCAATATGAAACCAAAAGTGAACACCATTCCTAAGGGTGACATGTTAAGAGGCCTTCCCTGGAATTCAAATCAGGACCCGAACACCTGCCTCCCTAAGCACAGCTGAACATTGTTCTGAAAGGTCTGGTCTAGGCATCAAGATGGGAAACAAAAATGAGGCAAGACTCTTGGAAGGGGGCTGACACAATAATCATTTTCAATGTCATTTAAAATCCCTTAGAATGAAACTACAACATTGAAATATAAATGTATGTCTGGAGGACTGTTAAAAATATAGCAGATGCAATAAGTTTCTAATAGAATTACAGGGCTATACAACTCATAATTGATACAAAATACTTAACAGCCATGAGAAGAAACAGAAATAACTTATTTGAAGAGGAACACTAATCACAACTCAGTTACAACAAAATACATGACTCCAAATGTTATCTTCTTTCATAAGGAAATACTAAATATTTATAAGATTTTTTTTTTTTTGAGTCTCTCTTTTTCACTCAGGCTGGAGTGCAGTGGCATGATCTCAGCTCATCGCAACCTGTCTCTCAGGTTCATGAGATTCTCCTGTCTCGCCACCCAAGTACGTGGGCCTACAGTCAAGTGCCATTACGTCCATCTAGTTTTTTGTATTTTTTCTAGAGACAGGGCTTCACCCAGTTAGCCAGGATGGTCCTGATCTCCTGACCTCCTGATCCACCTGTTTCAGCATCCCAAAGTGCTGGGATTACAAGTGTTAAGTCACTGTGCCCAGCCTCTAGATTAATTGTTAATTTTAAAGTGGATTGAAAAAATGTGGAAAGTAATTGAATCATGTGGATGAGTTTTTTTCTGTCCTGTTCTTGTGTAGTAAAAAAGACTCAAAATATCTGATGGTTTTGTAAAGAGCAGTTCCCCTGCACATGCTCTCTTGCCTGCCACCATGTAAGCTGTGCCTCTGCTTATCCTTCACCTTACGATTGTGAGGCTTCCCAGCCATGTAAAACTGTGAGTCCATTAAACCTCTTTTTCTTTATAAATTACCCAGTCTTGGGTATTTCTTCACAGCACTATGAAAAGGGACTAATTCAACTCTCTATTCAACAAATAATGCTGGGATATTTGTCTAGCTGTATGCAGAGAATGAAAACTACACTCCTACTTTTCACCATATACACAAATTAACTCAAGGTGGATTAAAGGTTTATAAGTAAGACCATGAACTATAAGAATCTTAGAAGAAAATCTACAAAAACACCCTTCTGGATATCAGCCATGGCAAAGAATTTATGATTAAGTTCTCAAAAACAATGCAACAAAAGCAAAAAATGTCAAGTGGGACCTAATTAAACTCAAGACCTTCTACACAGCAAAAGATACTGTCAACAAAAAGAAACTATCAACAAGCTGGGCACAGCGACTCATACCTATAATGCCAGCACTTTGGGAGGCTGAGGCAGGCAAATCACCTGAGGTCAGAAGTTTGAGACCAGCATGGCCAACATGATGAAATCCCATCTTTACTAAAAATACACAAATTAGCTGGACATGGTGGTATATGCCTGCAATCCCAACTACTAGGGAGGATGAGGCAGGAGAATCACTTGAACCCAGGAGGTGAAAGTTGCAATGAGCCAAGATCATGCTACTGAACCCCAGCCTGGGTGACAAGAATCTGTCTTTAAAAAAAAAAAAAAAATTAAAAAAAAAGAAAGAGCCAGGCACAGTGGCTCACAACTGTAATCTCAACATTTTGGGAGGCTAAGGTGGGTGGATCACAAGGTCAAGAGATTGAGATCATCCTGGCCAACGTGGTGAAACCTTGTCTCTACTAAAAATACAAAAATTAGCTTGATGTGGTGGCATGCCTGTAGTCATAGCTACTTGGGAGGCTGTAGCAGGAGCATCACTAGAACCCAGGAGACAGTGGTTTCAGTGAGCTGAGATTGCGCCAGTGCACTTCATCCTGGCAACAAAGAGAGACTCCATCTCAAAAAAAAGAAAGAAAAAGGAAAAGAAAAGAAAGGAAGGAAGGAAATATCAACAGAGTAAACAGACAACCTACAGAATAGGAGAGAATATTTGCAAATGATGCATCTGACAAAGGTCTACTATTAAGCAACTATATGTAACTTCATTGAACACACAAAAAACAACCCCATTAAAAATGGGCAAAAGACATGAACAGGCATGTTTCAAAGGAAGACACACAAGTGGCCAGCAAACATGAAAAAACGCTCATCATCATGAATTACCAGAGAAATGCAAATCAAAACTACAATGAGATACCATCTCACACAGTCAGAATGGCAATTATTAGAAGCTGGAAACAACAAATGTTGGCAAGACTATGAAGAAAAGGGAACGTTCATATATTTATGGTGGGAATATAAGTTAGTTCAGCCACTGTGGAAAGGAGTTTACAGATTTCTCAAATAATTTTAAAACAACCACTATTTAACCCAGCAAACTCACCAGATATGGAAAACAAAATAAAACAAATCATTCTACCAAACACACCACTATCCATCATAGCAGTAACATGGAATCAACCTAGGTTCCCATCAACAGTGGATTGGATAAAGAAACTGTTGTATATATACACCATTGAATACAGTATATATACCATGGAATATACCATGGACTACTACACAACCATAAAAAGAATAAAATGATGTAGTTTGCAGCCACATGGATGGAGCTGGAGGTCATTAACCTAAGCAAATTAATGTAAAACTAAACACTGCATGTTATCACTTATAAAAAGGGAGCTAAAAATGGGGTAATCATGAACATAAAGATAGCAACAATAGACACTGGGGACTACTAGTACTATGCCCACTACCCAGGCCAGGAGAGCAGAGGCACTGCCCACTCCCACTGTCTACAGAGTCTTGTGCATCCTCGACTCACCAGCAGATGCTGTGTCTCTTCTGGTGACTGTACAGTCACACCCGTCAGCTCAGCCAGCTCCTGACCTTTGATTTCCTGCTCAAGGGCCTGGGTGGGCTGCAAGTCTCTGTTACTCAGGGTCTCGTTGCAGGCATTGACCTCATCCTCAGGACCTCGTGAGGGATGTGAACGCCAGAAAAATACCTTGGGAAGGGCAAACCGCTCACTTAAGTCTACACCCAGGGCTCAGCTTCAGGGTTCGCAGTATGCAGCTGGACCTGCCATCCCCAACCCCTTCCAATGAGGTCACCCCGGCAGCTGAAGCTCAGCACATCTGGGACCCACTGCTGAGACAGGGCAGGTAGTCACGCCATCCCCAGCATGCAGGCTATAGGTGAGGGTGTCACCCAGGCTGCAGGAAGGACAGGGATGCACCATGGCCAGCCAGTCTGTGTGGTGCTCAAAATGGCCATTTATCCCCAGAGTCCCCAGACCACTTCAGAGAGTCAGGATCATTATGAGGACAAGGGATTGTGCCCACACTGGTGCTGCAGTGGACAGGAAGCAGTTCCTGAACCCATGATGCCCCCAGTTTCTGGAGAAACCAACTTACTCTGTCTACATGTTCACGGTCCCCTCCAGCACCTGGAAGAGGAGGAGTCTCCTTAGAAGGCGCATAGGGGCCCATGCAGCACCTCCCTCCCAGAGGGCAGTCAGGGGCAGGGGCAGGCTGGGGGCTGGACATTGGATAAGGAGCCATGGGCCTGGGGACAGAAATGGGACCTTGCAATTCAGGGACACCCTGGGGAAGGGGCATGAGAATAAAAACAAACATGGAAAAATCTCTGTTTTCTGCTCTGTGTTCTGATCTGACCAAGGCTGAATAAATTCCCTGACCACTTCTCATCCTGACCTTTGTCAGGCAGTTGAGGAGCTGACTGCCCCCGCCAGGCTGGGCCTGAAGATGGCAGGAACTGGCCCTGCCCTCTTGGACTTGGCTGGGTGATGAGGGGTCCCCCATCCCCAGGAAAGAGAATGATGAGACCAGGGTCCTGGGCAGTGCACGGGATGTGGGGATGGGGTGATCACAAGGACGAAGAAAGAGCCAGGCCAGAAATACTTAGACTACGGGCAGAGACAGGCATTTCTGTCTGTGGGAACAGGGTGGGAGAGGGCAGGGCATAGAGTTCCCAATGCCCTGCCCTCAGCCAGCACCTACCTGAGCAGATGCCTTTCAAGCAAGGAAGGACTTTCTTCCACAGTGAAGCCTTCCGAACAACCCCAGCCACAACCAGAATGAACAGTAGAATTAAGACCAGTATGATGACTGTGGTGGGAAAGGGAGAGGCAGGAGTCCCCGGGCTGGAAGTCACTGTCTCCTCTGCAGCTGATTCATCAACGCACTCAATGTCACTCCAGGGTGTACAATCCCTGACCTTGACCATCCCTCTGGGGCACCTGGGTACAAACAGGAAGGAAGAAGAGGGACTCTTGATGGAAAGCTGGCCAGGTGGGATGAAAGAAGAGCCACCCTCCCTGCCCAATGTCCCTGAGAAGGCATCAGGGGAAGGACAGGCTCCTCGTGTCTGCAGGGGCCCCCCATGCTCCCTGGTTGAGGCTGGGGAAGGGCATGTGTACTTCAGCCCCTCAGCCTCCTTGCTCTGGGGTCAGAGCTGCAGCTCCAGGAGCCTTCTGTGCTGGGCACACACAGCTTCCCTGGGCTGCAGGGGCAGCCTGCATTAGGAGGAGCCGCACTCCAGGGGAAGATCGCATGCCCATGTGGCCACAAGCTGAGCCCCATCCTCCAGTTTACCCACAATAAAAGTGAGCCCTTGCCCCTCCCTGTCTGCTGGCTCCTCCCAGTCACAGCAAACACTGTAGGGCCAGAGGAGAGCAAATTACTGTTTTCCACTAAAAGTCAAATAAGATAAAGAAGGACTTAGTGAGAAATCAGGGGTCAGGGGCAAGGCCGGCTGGGTGGGCTCAGCTCCTCATGGGAACTTAAGAGAGCTCCACCCATGGCCTTACTGTGACTTTTGTGGGCCAGCGCTACTTTTGTCTTTATGGGTCCCTGTCTGCATAGGAAATATTAAAAATTACATTTTAAAAAATCAACTTGGAATAAGGACAAACAAATACAAGCCACACTGGATTCAAGTGTTTTCTTCAGATTTCAAAAGGAAATCACATTTCCTAGGTCCCCTGAAAAGTATCAAAGAACCTAGAAAGTCACCTCCTGTGCCCAACGAACACTTCAGCCTACCCAAAGGGACTTGTGCTGGAGAGGGTCGGGAAGGGGCTGCTGCAGGGGGCAGGGGTGAGGACAGGCAGATGGACCAAAAAGAACCACTGCAGGCTCAGGAGACCCCACAGGCTCAGGGATGCCTCATGGGGCTGGAGGCTCCATGGGGTCGGGGAGAGATAGGGGTACCAGGTGACTCGGGTCTTCTCGGGTTCTGAGAGCTGTTGGGGTCCCTTGGCCGCTGTCTCACCCTGTGCTGCACTCCTGGCACATCTCAGTAAAGTTTTCATTCTGGAAGGTGCCTTCTTTGCACTGACACACCGTGTCTGTGGTCATGGTGCAGGGACTTTTCATATCTTGACCTGAAGACAGAGCAGAAGGTTTCGGAAGTGAGTTTCCCTGACATATCCCTCCATCCTTCCTTACCACCCAAACCCCCTCCCACTCAGCTCAGCTCAATTCAGTTCACCAAGAAGCTCTGAGGCCAGTTTCTGCACCAGCACACTTGGGGTATGATACAGAACATCTACCCTTCAGCTGTTACCAACACTCAGAGTCATACAAAAGGACCATGATTCATTATTTATGACATCAGATTGGGGGAAAGCATCATTTAGATCACATGGTCAGTAGCAAGGGAGGTGCAGGGGCATCACCTGAGGGACTCTGCAAGGAGAGGAACACTCAGGTGACTTCCCAAAAGCCCCGGCCCTGCTGGGGAGGAGGAAGGGGCCTGAGAACCTAAAGGCTGAGTGAGGCCCAGCGCCTGCCAGGAGAACAGAGCCAGGAGTTGAGAGTTGGGCACCGGAGCAGACCCGTGACATCACTGAAACCCAGCCCTGTCCACTCAGCCAGGACTTCTCTGTGCTCTTATCATTCCCCCACCACCTTGCAGCCGATAGTTTAGAAGACTTCCCAGCCAGGTGGCGAATGTATTATAAAAAAGATTTCTCTTTTTTTTGTTTTTATTTAACCTAAGTCACAATCATGGAACAGGGTATGATAAACGCCAAGATGGGCTGGAACTTGGTTCCCTGACTCACATCGGCTACACTCCCACCTCATCGCTCCGCACGCCACCTCTGGGCAAGCGGTCCACACATTCTGTACCTGATTTACAAACTGTACATAGGAGGCAAGAAGGCAAATTGTTAGAATTATTGGTGTAATCCACACCCTCTGTGCACCTGATACAGTCTCCAGTATATGGTGATCTATGAGATCCTGAGAAGAGAGAGAAAAGCCAATTAATGAGTTGCCAGAGAATTCCCAGAGGCTGACAGTGGCTGGGAAACCTCTCTTTTGGCCCTGAGTGGAATCCAGACAAAGAAATCCACTCTTCCAGGCTTGATCTTCTCATCAGTTCTGCATCTACTGCATACCTTTGACTGGTACTGCTGACAGAAATATAATACAAGCCACATAAGAAATTCAAATTCTATGAGAACCATATTACAGTAGTAAAAGGAATGAGGTCAAATTAAGTTTAACAATCTATTTTTAACCTAAAGTATCTAAAACACTACATTTCAATATGTAATCAATATAAACCTTTGAAATATTTTACTTTTTTTTTTGGAGATGGAGTTTTGCTCTTGTTGCCCAGGCTGGAGTGCAGTGGCACTATCTCGGATCACTGTAACCTCCATCTTCCAGGTTCAAGTGATTCTCCTTCCTCAGCCTCCCAAGTGGCTGGGATGACAGGCACCCACCAGCACACCCAGTTAATTTTTGGTATTTTTAGTCGTGACGGTGTTTCCCCATATTGGGCAGGCTGGTCTTGAACTCCTGACCTAAGTGATCCACCCACCTTGGCTTCCCAAGGTGCTGTGATTACAGGCGTGAGCCACCACACCATACCACACCATACCCAGTCTACTGTTTTGTTTTTTAACAATAAAATAAAACAACAAAATAAAATCCAACCTCTTCGACATGTGATCTGCCCATGCTGCCCACCCGGCCTGTCTGCTGTCCACTCACTACAGTGGCCCTGTCTTTGCTCAGTATCTCCCAGCCCCTGCACCCTGGGCCTCTCAATCCTGGGCAGGCTGCTCAGGAGCACTATTTCTGGCTCTCTGCAACACTAGCCGTGTTCAACTTTGGATACTGACCAGTATCATCATCCCTGAGACGCCCTGCCAAATTCATCTCTGTCTCACCCATCACTTAATTATTCTTCATGATTCCTGTCAGAAATTTCTGAGTGTTACATTGATATGTGTGTCTTAATACTACCCCAGAAAAAGGTTCCATGAAGACAGGGCCTCTTATAACCACCATTAGCATGGTGCCTGACTTACAGAAATCATCCAACCTATCCCTATGGAATAAAACACAAGAGAGTGCAGCAAACAGAAGTCTGGAGGCACACAGAGATAAGGGCATGATAACGGTGAGGCAGCAGTCCTAGATTGTGCCTTCCAGCTAGCACTACAGACCCAGCATCCTGGCCCACCTCCACAGACTCAGCCTCCAGGTCTGCCCTAGTGCCACATCAGTCCCCACTAACTCACGCTCCAGGCCCTTCCCTGTGGACCTAGTGATGGAACCCATCACAGCACCTGGCTGACACTTGCAAACTCAAGTTTAAGGCCCACTCCAGTGCCAATTCAGCCCCTATGGAAACAGGCCTCAAGTCACCTCTCTGGATACAGCCTCTGACCACCCTTGAACCACACCACATGGCCTGCCCAGAATCTGTGAACAGGCTGCCTGGTGAAGGGCGTTCCATGACAAAGCCAGTCTGTAAAGACTGGAATAAGTCCCTGCTGCTTCAAAGCACACATTCCAACACATTGCCACAGGCTGCTGAGCCATCAGGGAACCATGACAGCACCAAAGAAACAAAATATAGCACTCGTAACTATCCTAAACTAATAGAGAAAGAATTGAAAACACTCATCTTAAAGAAGCTCAGTCAGCTACTAGAGAATACAGATAGACAACTACATGAAGTCAGAAAAACAATACATGAGCAAACGAGAAGTTTCATATACACACACAGCTAGTGCTCGACTTACGACCATGATTAGTTCCAACAGGCCGGCCGTAACATGATTTGGTTGTAAGTTGAGTAGGCTATATGTACAGTACTGTGAAATGATGTTATAAAAATCTTTAAGTCATATTTTATCATAATTTTCTTTCATTATTGTTATATATCATAATTTTCTTTGTTCATTTTATGCCATTTGTATCATCTCTACACCATTTTGTTTCTTATTTTTACATTCGTCAGGTTTAAGTAAAACACTGCATTACCAGTACAACTGGTTTAATATTTGCAAAACATACAAAATTACAAAATACAGGTGCATACAAAAATACAAAATACAGGTGTAAAAAATACCATAGGAAACATTTTCCCAATTGCAAAACATATCAAAATATACAAACATGTATGAAACATTTTATTGGCAATTCCTCTTGGTAGACATCTTGGGAGGGGTTTGATGAAAAATATCCAAGACACAAAACACAAATTGCTGTACCGAGTCTGGGATAACAGTTGAAATGGTGCACGCAGAGATGGTAGTGCTGCCGGAAGCTGGTCCACACTGTCGTATGCCCAGCTGGGCAACATTTGCGTTGCCAGACAAGGAGCAGTCGTGGCTAGCGATTGTGGTTGTAAAGTCAAATGGTCGTAAGCTGCATAGGTCATAAGTCGATCAATACCTGTAGACACCATACTAAAGAACCAAGCAGAAATTCTAAAATCAAACAACAGAATATCTGAAATAAAAATTCCACAGAGAATGCCAATAGCAGAGTAGACTAAGCAGAAGAATCAGTGAGCCTGAAAACAGATCATTTGAAATTACCAAGTCACAGAAAGAAAAAGAATATAAAGAATGATAAAGACGGAAAAAGCCAACAGTACCGATGGTTACCATGAAGCAAAACAATACATGGATTATGGTGGTCCAAGAAGCATCAGAGAAAGTCAAAGGAACAGAAAGTGTTATTAATGAAATAACAGAAAATGACCCAAATCTGGATGGGACTGGCCATCTATATTCATGAATCCCAAAGAACCCCAAACAGATTAAATATGAAGAGATCTTCACCAAGACACATCACAAAAAAATTCCCAGAAATCAAAGGCAAAGAGAATTTTGAAAGCAGCAAGAGAAAAGCAATGTACAAAGGATACCCTATAAAAATATTGAAGGCTTCTCAGCAGAAAACCTGCAGGCCAGGAGATAGTGGAATCATAGGAAGTATAGAAAGGGGGGAAAAAAAAAAAACCTTGCCAACCAAGAATACTATACCTGGCAAGTCTGTCCTTTAGAAATGAAAGAGCAGGCTGAAGGACTAAGCAGAGCCATGGAAACACCACCAGTTTGCTGTCGGTCCACACCACCCATCACAGTGCCCACCTATCCAGCGTCTACCACCGCCATGGGAGTGCAGGTGGAAACCATCTCCCCAGGAGACGGGCGCACCTTCCCGAAGCGTGGCCAGACCTGCGTGGTGCACTACACCAGGATGAAAAGAAATTTGATTCCTCCCAGGACAGAAACAAGCCCTTTAAGTTTATGCTAGGCAAGCAGGAGGTGATCCGAGGCTGGGAAGAAGGGGTTGCCCACGAGTGTGGGTCAGAGAGCCAAACTGACTATATCTCCAGATTATGCCTATGGTGCCACTGGACACCCAGGCATCATCCCACCACATGCCATTCTTGTCTTCGATGTGGAGCTTCTAAAACTGGAATGACAGGAATGGCCTCCTCCCTTAGCTCCCTGTTCTTGGGTCTGCCGGAGGGATCCTGGTGCCTCCAGATGTGTGCATGTGAATCCATATGGAGCTTTTCCTGATGTTCCACTACACTCTGTATAGACATCTGCCCTGACTGAATGTGTTCTGTCACTCAGCTTTGCTTCTGACACCTCCATTTCCTCTTCCCCTTTATCCTCGTATGTGTGTTTACCTAAACTCTATATGCCATAAACCTCAAGTTATTCATTTTATTTTGTTTTCATTTTGGGGTGAAGATTTGGTTTCAGTCTTTTGGATCTAGGTTTCCAATTTAGTATATGATCAAGTATTAACAGCACGAGTGATAGGTTAACTTTAGAATAGGAATTGGTGTTTGGGGTGGGGCTTGCAAGAATATTTTATTTTAATTTTTTGGATGAAATTTTTATCTATTATATATTGAATATTCTTGCTGCTGTGCTGCAAAGCCATAGCAGATTTGAGGCACTCTTGAGGGCTGAATTATTCTCCAAGTTGAGAGATGTCCTTGGGTTAAAATGAAAGCCCTGCCTAAAACTGAGGTGGGGATGGGGAGAGCCTTTGCCTCCACCAGTCCCACCCTACCCTCTCCTTAAACCCTCTGCCTTTGATAGCAGGTCATTTTCACTGTGATGTTGGACACTACAGGTATCTAGCTGTCCCTGAGCCAGCAGAGACCTCTGAAGCCTTCTTTGTGGCCTGGCTTATTTTTTTTTCCCCCATCCTGTGGTTTTTCTAATGGACTTTCAGGAATTTTGTAATCTCATAACTTTCCAAGCTCCACCACTTCCTAAATCTTGAGAGCTTTAATTGACAGTTTAAATTGAAGGTGCTGTTTGTAGACTTAACACCCAATGAAAGCCCAGCCATCATGACAAATCCTTGAATATTCTCTTAAGAAAATGATGCTGGTCATCGCAGCTTCAGCATCTCCTGTTTTTTGATGCTTGGCTCCCTCTACGGATCTCAAAGTTTCCTGGCTTTTCCTCCCTCAGCCCCTTCTCACCCGTTTGCTGTCCTGTGTAGTGATTTGGTGAGGGAAATCATTGCTGCCCCCTCCCTCCAGCACCATATATGAGTTTCAAGTTTTATTATTGCAATAAAAGTGCTTTATGCTGGCAAAAAAAGAAAAAAAAAAAAAGAAAAAGAAATGCAAGAGCAGTAAATACTTTATCAGACAAAGAAAACCTGTGGGAGTTCATCTTTAGCATTTCTTGCCATACAAGATATTGACATGCAGAAGAATGAGATAAGACACTGTATCACACGTAAAAATCAACTAAAAATGGACCAAAGTTTAAACATAAGCCCTGAAAATTTTAAACTACAAGAAGAAAACGTAGGGGGAAATCTTCATGTTGATGGTCTGGGCAATGATTTCTTGGCTATGACCCCAAAAGCACAGGCAACAAAAGCAAAAATAGATGAGATTACAACAGACTCAAAAGGTTCTGCACAACAAAGGAAACAATGAATGAAGTAAAGAGACAACCTACAGGATGAGACAGAGATGAATATGCAAAAGATCCAAGATTTTGCTTAATATCCAAACTACACAGGAACTCAAACATCTCAACAGCAGGCAATCAAATAATCCAATTAAAATGGACACATGGGCAAGGGACCCGAATAGACACTTCTCAAAAGCAGACACAGAAGTGGCCAACAGATACATGAAAAAAATGTTCAGCATCACTAATCTCCAGGGAAACGCAAATCAAGGCCACAGTACAGTATCACTTCACATCTGTAAGAATGGCTATTTTCAAAAAGACAAAAGATAACAAGTGTTGACGATGATGGGGAGGAAAAGGAACACTGGTACACTGTCAGTGGGAATGAAAATTAATACAGCCATTATGGAAAACAGGATGGAGGTTCCTCAAAAAATGAAAAATAGAACAACTATATGATCTAGTCATCCCACTACTGGGTGTACATCCAAAGGAAATGACATCAGTATGCTGAAGAGATATCTTCCCTCCGATATGCATGGAGCATTAGTTACAATGGTCAAGACAGGGACTCAACCTAAGTGTCTATCAATGGGTCAAAAGGTAAAGAAAATGTGATACATAGACACAATGGAAGACTATGCAGCCTTACAAAGAAAGAAATTCTGTCATTTGTGACAGCATGGATGAACCTGGAGGATACTATGCTAAGTGAAATAAGCCAGGCACACAAAGACAAACACCTCACCATGTCACACAGGTGGAATCTGCAAAAGTTGATCTCAGAGGCAGAGAGAAGAATGGTGATTACCAGGGCTGGAGTTGGATGGTGGGTCAGGGAGATGTTGGTCAAAGGATACAAAATTTCAGTTAGACCAGGGGGAAAAATTCAAGAGATGTCTTGTGGGACATGGTGACTACAGTTAGTAAAACAATGTGTTGTACACCCCTTCCTTCTACTCAAAGGGAGTATCTTCCATGGAGCAAACTGCACATACTCAGGTTCCTGATATAAATTGGGGTGGTATTGCAGATAAGCCAGGCACATATGCTTTAAATCTGTCTAGATTACTTGTAATACCTAATACAATAGACATGCTATGTAAATAAGTGCTATACTGCATTGCCTTTTATTTACTTTTATTGAGGTATTATCACTTTTATTGTTTTTTCCACATATTTTTGATCTGTGATTTGTTGCAACCACAGATGCAGAACCCACAGATAAGCAGGGCTATAGAATCCACAGATAAAAAGGGCAGAGAGGGCTTATGCCAGGGCTCTGTATCTGTAGAGCTAAAAATTGCTAAGAGCAGATTTTAAGTGTTCTTACCACAAATACCTAAGTATGTGAATTAGCTGGATTTGGGCATTCCACAATGCATACATAGTTCAGAACATCATGAGGCAGACCATAAATATATACAAAGTTTATCTGTCAAATAAAATAAACCGATTTTTAAAAATAAAAGTGCACCTGGTGGACACTCCCCCTTGAGGCTGGGCCTTTGTTGCTGTGGTGTCACTGTCTGCCGGGGAATTTCATCCTGCAGGGTGATGGTGGCAGGGGCACCTTGGACCTGTGGGGACAAAGCACAGATGGGCATGAGTGGTTTCCAGACCTCACCTCTCCCAGGCTCCGTCTCACATTCCCTTCACCCCAAGTGACAAACGCCATCAGAGCTTACACCTTTTTTCCAGCTCCAAACCTTCATTCTTTTGTATGTGTGTTTGTCCCTTGGCCTGTTAGGGCAGCTATTTTCTATAAAGAAAAACTCCTCTGTATCCTTTCCTCATATTATAACATAAAATACCTTTACCCCAGAAAATGCGAGCAAGAAGAGTTATTTCTGCTTTTCTTGATGGAGTATTGCCATGTTGCCCAGAGTGGAACGCAGTGGCTATTCACAGGTGTGATCATAGTCCACTACAGCCTGGAACTTCTTCAAGTGATCCTCCTGCCTCAGTCTCCCAAGTAACTTGGATAAAAGGCACTCACCACTGTGGTTGGCAAGAAAAGATTTTATAACGCACGCACACACACACACAGACACACGAGATGAGCCCTTCAAGCAGAAATAGCATCTAATATATTTAGTTTGATCAAGTGTTTAACCAATGGGTGAATTCTCTCTCACACACACAAACACACACAGACACACACATAAACATACACGTTTTCACAAATGAGGGTTATAATATATAACCTTAAAGAAAGTCAGGATATAGCATCAAACATTAAGTAATTAATTTCTGCTTTACAATGGACTTTGACAAGCTGTTCCCACTAAATATCAAAGTGTCGCAGAAAAAGATGCAGCAATGCAGGGATTCTGGCCATGATCTCTGTGTTATAAATGACAACTAGAAGACAACTGGAGAAATCGGAATAGAGGCTGTGTATTAGATGGTGGTAATGCATTGATGTTAATTTCCTTGTTTGTAGAAAGTACACATGAAAATTTCAATAATAGCATTCATCATGTCAACAGCTAGTATTCAAATTTTTTGTATTTTTTTTTTAACTTTTCTTAAACTGGGATTGTTGTAAAGTACAAAATTAATTTAATTGTAAACTTGAATTCAATTACCTTTCATCTAATTTTGCCTCTGAGTGAAAACAAAATGGTTACAATGAAAGCTACTTACGTTGGGCTCAGTTCAACTGCTTGGATCTAAACAAGACAAAATGCAGCACTGGTCCCCATCAAGGCCTGTCAAGTAGTTGCTGACAGTGAAGCAACTACTTGACAGGCATGTCAAGGCACGTTTCCCAAATCCTTCCTTCACGGGCTGGGCTCCCTCTAGGTTCAGTAATGTCTGTGTCTCCTTTCTCTGCTCTTACATCGTTACTATCTCTCATCCAATGAAGGGCTTATAAGTGTTTTTAAAAATCCTTTCAGAAGACCAACTTTTCATTTTGTCAATTTTTTTTTATTATTTCTTGGAGATGGGGTCTCCCTCTGTCATCTGGTTAAAGTGCAGTGGCGTAATCTCTGCTCACTACAACCTCTGCCTTTTCTGCCTCCCAGGGTCAAGTGGTCCTCCCCTCAGTCCCCCAAGTGGCGGGGACCACAGACAGGCATGTGCCCCAACACCCAGCTAATATTTGTATATTTTGTACAGCTGGGATTTTGCCTTGTTTCCCAGACTGTTCTAACTCCCAACCTAAGCATTCTACCTGCCTGGGTCTTCCAAAGTACTGGGACTACACAAGTAAGCTACCACACACAGTCCATTTTGTCAATTGTTTTTGCAGTTTGCACTCTATTTCTTTGATTTATGTTCCTCCTTGTTACTTTGTTTGGTTTAATTTTGTGTGTGTGTGTGTGTGTGTGTGTGTGTGTGTGTGTGTGAGACAGAGTCTCGCTCTGTCGCCAGGCTGGAGCGCAGTGGCACGATCTCAGCTCACTGCAACCTCCCCCTTCCAGGTTCAAGTGATTCTCCTGCTTCAGCTTCCCAAGTATGTGGGACTACAGGCAGGTACCACCACGCAGAGCTAATTTTTGTATTTTCAACAGAGACTTGGTTTCACCATGTTAGCCAGGATGGTCTCAATCATTTGACCTTGTGATCCACCTACCTCAGCCTCCCACAAATGCTGAGATTACAGTCAGGAGCCACTGCGCCCAGCCTGTTTGGTTTAAATTTACACTTATATTTTATGATTGATTAATGTACATCTTCAGGCCACAGGTTTCACATTTTTTTCTTTTTTTTGACAGGTTTAATGTGACACAATTCACATAAATATTATGATTATTCATATAATTCACCCATTTAAAGTTTATAGTCCAGTAGTTTTTAATATATTCACACCTATGCAATCATCACTATAAATAATCTCAGAATATTTTCATCACTCCAAAAAGGAACTGCATATCCTTCGGTAGTAACTCCCCACCTCCCCAACCCCCAGTTCTTCCACAGGAACACTGAAAGCTGGATATTTCACCCCAGCACTGTTAGCCACTTCCCACCAGTTTTCACGTTATCTTGTCCTTATTTACTTTGAAATATTTTCCTTCCCTTTTTACTTCTTCTCTGAACCACAGATTTCTTCCCAGTGTGTTGTTCAATAACCAAATTTTAGAATTCTCTATATATACTGTTACTGATTTCCAGTTTAGTTTCATTCAATTTAGAGATCATATTGTATGTTTTATAGCCCAGAACCTGGTCTACCTTGGCAAAAGTATCATGAGCATAGAAAGGAATGAGTGTTCAGTGGACGTTCTACTCCTCCTCTTTAAAAGTCAGTTAAATCTAAGTGGTTGAGAGCACATATCGCTTGCCACTTAGCTGGCGTTTTCATCTGATAGTTCTATCAAATGCAGAGAAAGGGGAGATTTAATCTCCTTTCATTCTACTTTTGCATCATGTGTTTTTAAACTGTATTTAAAACATGGCAAAATCGTATCTCTACTAAATATACAAAAATTAGCCGGCCACGGCGGCAGGCGCATGTAATCCCAGCTACCGCTCTGTAGCTTCCTGAGGTTTCACTCAGAAGTTTCCCTCTTGACTCCACCCCTCCATTGATTCTGGAACTTTCTATGGGGCAGCTCAGCCTGGTCCTCGCGGCACCGGACAGCCAGCAGGAGCGCGCGCTCTGCTCCCTCGCGGCGGTGTCGCTCCAGCCCAGCGCGGGGACCCAGTTCTTCCCGAACTCCGATGATAGGCTGGTCCCACCAGGCATCGCCAGCCGCGGGCGACCCAGGCCAGGCATCCGCGCCGCGACCCCCTCCCCCCCACCCCTTGGCCCCTCCCGGCCCCCGTCAGGCGCGCTCTTTCCAGCCACCGACCGCGGTGGGACTCACCAGCCGCTGGACCTCGAAGAGGAAGATGACGAGCGGAAGGGTCTTGCCCGGAGCCATACCCGGTTCCCGCACCGTCCTGGGTCCTAGGTCGCGCCCTGCTCAAGCCGTCGAGGCGGCCGGGACACTCTGTCCCCGAAGTTCCACGAGAAGGAGGAGGCAGGAGGTTGCACCACCTGAACTTTGGGTCAAAAGCCCCAAAATCAATCAGAAATCGTCCGGAAATCCTCCCCGTAGTTCGTGCGCGCGGAGAACTTTCCGCCCCAACTCTACGTGAACCCAAGCGCGTCTGCTTGTCTGGCGGGATGGGAGGTGGCTTATATCCGGGTGGGAGGGGCGTGGTCCCGCGCGGGGGCGTGGTCTCGCTGGGCCGTGGTCTCGGGCGGTGGGGGCGTGAACCGACACAAACTAGTTATAGCCGGCAGCGGTGACCTGGGGACTGTGGTTTGATTCCGGGTCGTGCCCAGGTTGTGAACTGCAAAAGCAGAACGAACTGAGGAGCCTGCTCCCTCCCCGAGACGACTGTCTCTCCTCTTCTTAAACCTTGAACTGCCTCCCGGCCTAAGCCCTTCAGTCCACTCAGCTTCTGCTCCCACTGCCTCCTCCCACAGCCGCCTCACTGACCACTGCACTCATGCCACTGCCTCCAGCCCCTTGCTGCTCCCACCCAGCTCCAGGTTTCTCTGGCAGGGGCTTGGCACCCCTCAGTAGCAGATGCCTGGCAGCAAGGAGGGGACCAATGAACCGATGAGTGGGCAGAACGGACACACAGGCCATGACAGGCACATGCAGAGGCTGAGGAGTAGGTAGGAGGGAGAGGAACCCTGGGGCATCCCTAACCACAGCCTGGCACCCATTGCGTGGTCAAGGCACAGACACTCCCAGATCGACCTTGAGGGCTCTAGTGTGGGGGCAGGGGAACCAGGGGAGTGGCTTCCAAAGCCTGCTCGCAAGTCTAGTGTCTACCCAGGTCCAACTGTCTGACCTTGAGTTACTGACCTCCCCATCCAGTTAACCACACTGCCACTGTGAGGACAGACCCAAGGTGTGGTAGTGAAGGGTGCTAGCTTGTGACCCTAGGCAGTGAGGTCAATGACCCTCCTAGACCCTTGGGGTGAGGCTAGTCCTGACCCCGCACTTGGTATATAGAAAAGGATCGCCCTATAGAAACGAAGAAGGTTTTTCGGCTCGCCAGAAACCTGGGAATGAATGTCATCCTCTCCGCAGGCTTGTATTTGAGCAGTGGAGCACCCTGGGCACTTGCCAGGCCCCAGACACGGAGTTAGGACCAGAAATGTGTGCCAGGCCGCAGGCATTGAGCAGTGTGTGTGGTCACGAATGTGTGCTGGTGCGGATCCAGGCAGGGGGTGAGAGGACAAGGGCTTCAGGAGGACTGACAGCATTAACCAGAGTCACCAGGGCCTGCGGGAAGGTCTTCAGAGCAGCTCAGGCCCATTGGCCCTGGAGGGTGGAGCACACAGTGTAGACTAGAAACCAGAGGGCAGGTAATGACACATTCTCTGTGCCCTGCGTGGAGCACTGACTATGGCTAAAAACCTCTAAACTTCTCTTCTGTCTTTGGACACACCAAAGACAACTTGGTGTTTTGTATGCCAAGAATTCCAACCTTGCCTTCCAAATAAAGTGTATTAAATTTGGATATTCATCTCTACATTTTCCATTGTTTCCAAGAGTAGTGGAAAACTGACCTATTGAAAGGATGTCCATATGGGGCCCTACCCTATGGAAATCTCTAGGGGGACTTGAGGACTGCATTAAAGTAGGACATGCCCATGCCAGTCAGTAGAACCAGCCTCGGGTGTGGAAAGTGATTATAATCAGCAAGACATACCCCCGTGTACTCCCTTGACGTGGTCACTAGAGGCCACGAAGTAAAATAAGCGGACGTGGGGAACCACAGCGATGCAGAGATGGGCTGAATCTAAACATGTTCCTCTTGCTCCCTCTCAGGAACATAACGTCAATCAGATGTTCTGTTCTGTCTGTGAGCGGGAGAGATACAGGCTGCCTATGACTATGAGGCAGATTCCCTGATGGGGACGCCCTGCACATACTTGGAAAGTGAGACTGGGGCAGTTCCACTGGGGGCTACAAATGAATCTCGACAGGAACAGAACCTGATGGATTGTCTTTTGGTTACCCAGGGGAGGCTGCAAATGCCCCAGACTGCTATTGATAGAAAAGAACTGAAACAAGCTATTGTTCTAGTTTGGACCACCAAGCCACACCTCTGTGGACCAAGAAACAGGCTGTATGGCGAGCACAGAATGTTTAGCAATGGGCTGGAGGTATCCTCCTTAGAGTAATAATTTGACAGGGAAGCAGAACAGTCAACCGAAACATGGATTGTCTAAAATGGGGGGAGACAAAGGCATGAAGGTCTGGCTTCCACTCCTTCACTGCTGTGTGCCCCACTCCACACAAGTGGAGCTAAAGGAGTGTCCCTGCTGGACTCTCCTTCATTTTTCCAGTGGATCTGGGGATGAGGGCATGGGGAGGATGCCAGTATAATGACTGTCATTTTGGTGGTGGTGGGGATGGTGGTGGTGGATTTTTTTGTGACACAGTCTTGCTCTGTCGCCCAGACTGGAGTGCAATGGCACGATCTCAGCTCACTGCAATCTCTGCCTCCTAGGTTGAAATGATTCCCCTGCCTCAGCCTCCCAAGAGGCTGGGACTACAGGCCCCCCCCACCACACCCACCTAATTTTTGTATTTTTAACAGAGGCAGAGTTTCACAATGTTGGGCAGGCTGGTCTCAAACTCCTGACCCCAGGTGATCTACCCACCTTGGCCTCCCCTAAATGCTGGGATTATAGGCGTGAGCCATCGTGAGAGGCCAATGATTGTAATTTTTGTCTCCCCCCGCCCCTTACATCAAACTCTCCCCTCCTCCCACTCACCACCTGGTGCAGTGGCCACAGGACTAGGGCTACAATTATAAGTTCTGGAAGCAGTGGTGACTCCTAAGCCAGAAGCTGAGACAATGTGTTGAGACATTCTGTCAGTTTTCTTAAGGACCTGATGGGTGTGCGTTGTGCTTTGCCACACCTGGCAAAATAGAAGCTAACAGTATATGCAGCTATATTGCCTGATATGGTTTGGATATATGTCCCCTCCAGGAAGTGAGGGACACTGACAAAGGACCACCTTTGTCACACTGCTATAAAGAATGACCCGAGCCTGGGTAATTTATAAAGGAAAGAGGTTTAATTGACTCACAGTTCCACATGGCTGGGAAGGCCTCAGGAAACTTACAGTCGTGGCGGAAGGCGATGGGGAAGCAGGCACCTTCTTCACAAAGTGGCAGGAGGGAGAGAAGAGAGAGAAGGAGGAACCAACAAACCCTTTAAAACCACCAGATGTCGGGAGAACTTACTCGCTGTAAGGAGAACAGCCTGAGGAAACCACCCCCATGATCTAGTCACCGCCCCCAGCTTCCTCCCTTTTCATGTGGGGATTACAAGTCGAGATGAGATTTGTGTGGGGACACTGAGCCAAACCATGTCAGACCACCTACTTGTGATTGCCCCTGAAGAGGGGGGCATCTCGTGGGATGGACTCCTTAACCTGTGGGGTCGGCCAGACCTCTGACTAGCGTCAGAAGTGAATTGATTTAGGGGATACTCACGTGAGGTGGGAGAATTGGTCAGAGTGAGAAAAACCCACACAACTGTTCACAGAAGCATACTGAACTGTTAACATATTGATCAGTGTAGGCTGAGCCCAGTGGCTCAGGCTTGTAATCCCAAGATGTTGGAGGCCAAGGCAGGCAAATCACAAGGTCAGGAGATCCAGACCATCCTGGCTAACACAGGGAAATCCCATCTCTAATAGAAATACAAAAAATTAGCTGGGCGTGGTGGTACGTGCCTGTAATCTCAGCTACTTGGGAGGCTGAGGCAGAAGAATAGCTTGAACCTGGGAGGTAGAAGTTGCAGTGAGCCAAGATCACACTACTGCACTCCATCCTGGGCCACAGAAAAACTCCATCTCAATAAATAATAAATATTGATCAGTGTAATTTCTTAATATTTTCTTTTCTTTTCTATTTATTTATTTATTTTTTGAGACAGAGTTTCGCTCTTGTTGCCCAGGCTGGAGTGCAATGGCGCGATCTCGGCTCACCGCAACCTCCGCCTCCTGGGCTCAGGCAATTCTCCTGCCTCAGCCTTCTGAGTAGCTGGGATTACAGGCACACGCCACCATACCCAGCTACTTTTTTTGTATTTTTAGTAGAGACGGGGTTTCACCATGTTGACCAGGATGGTCTCGATCTCTTGACCTTGTGATCCACCTGCCTCGGCCTCCCAAAGTGCTGGGATTACAGGCTTGAGCCACCGCACCCGGCCAATTTCTTAATATTTTCTAAGCTAGAACTTTGCCTTTTTGTGTGAGCCTAAAGCACTCAGGGTTCTCAGCAGTATGGCTGGTACTTCATGTTTCTTAGATCTGTTAATGAGTGGGACCAGTGTTGCTCAGGTAATCAGGCCAACATCAGATGGGTCCTGGCAAAACAATTTTCCATAACATATCCTCTACTGGTTTCCAGGGGTCAGTAGCTGTCAACGTGGGTTCTGCTGTTAATTTCTTTAAATGTTTCATGAAGGCCTCGAAACAAATTAAACATAATCTTTAAATTATGTTTCCTCTACTGGGTATGGTGGTGCACACCTGTAATCCCAGCACTTTGGGAGGCCAAGGCAGGCGAATCACGAGACCAGCCTGCCTAACATGATAAAACGCCTTCTCTACTAAAAACACAAAAATTAGCCAGACAGGGTGGTGCATACATGTAATCCCAGCTACTCAGGAGGCTGAGGCAGGAGAATCGCTTGAACCCGGGAGGTGGAGGTTGCAGTGAGCCCAGATCCCACCATTGCACTCCAGCCTGGGCAACACAGCGAGACAGCGTCTCAAAAAAAGTAAGAAAGAATAAAACCCATCACGTTCACAAATACCAGAGTGTAGGGATTCAAAATAAGCTTTAGGGTGAAAAATTCAAACCACTAAAGCATACAAAGTAAATACGGTCCGTGTACAGGAAAAAAAAAATGGACAGATAACCTGGGGAAACTCAGATGTTGGGCTTATTTGGCAAATGCTTTCAATCAACTGTTACGCTGGGGTTTTTGTTTTTCTGACAGAGTCTCGCTCTGTGGTTCAGGCTAAAATGAAGTGGCACCATCTCAGCTCACTGCAACCTCCAGCTCCTCCAGGGCTCAAGCACTTCTAGTGCCTCAGCCTCCGGAACAGCTGGGATTACAAGAGTGCACCACAATGCCTGGCTAATTTTTGTATTAGACCAGCCAGGCTGGTCTCAAACTCCTGACCTCAAGTGATCTGCCCAACTCCACCTCCAAGGCGTGATCCAACACCTTATCTAAATCAACAGTTTTAAACATGCTCAAATATCTGAAGGCGCTGTGTGTGTTTTGGTGGGTGGTGGGTGTGTGTTTATTGTAGAGGATTGCAGAGGATTAAAACAGTAGCTCGCAGCCCATGGCTTCCACGGTGAGGCTGAGGTGCCCACGGGCAGGGGTGGAGGGAAATGTTCCAGGGGAACCCAGAGCAGCACCTACACCTTTCCTCTGGGGAAACAAGTGAGTGTGTCCCAGGTTGTCCAGCGCATTTCAGTGTGGATGTTTCCTCAGTTCTCCACGTGTAACAGTCTCTCAACAGGTTTCTGCTTTTCTCTCAGATCAAACTGATTCACGCACAGATGTTCCTTTGGTGCTTCCAGAGAGGAAAAGCGGAGAGCCTCCTGTAGCACCACCTTGCTGATGACAGAAACTTGGTTTTACACTTAACTCAGCTTCACTCGTGGACACGGAGGCAGAGCCAGGTGGGGGCAAACCGACTCTGAGGAACGATTTACCTGGTAGGATGGAGCAAGTGTCACCATCTCAGGGACTATACGAAGGACGAAATGAGATGCGTGTGAAATGTACCACACACACTACCCAGTGATATATAAGGTGAGTCTGAAACACAAATTTATATTTTCTAATATCCTCATGAAAAAAGTAAAAAGAAATAGCTGACATGAATGTTCATGACATTTTATTCAATGCAATATAGCCAAAATGTTCTCATTTCAACATGTGATTAATGCACAATAAACTATTAATGAAACATGTTACGTGATTTAGTACAGTAAATTCTTGTGATAGGGCCATCAAATTGCTCGTCAAATTCAGGTTCCCTGCAGGGCACGTGCTCAGTAGTCCACGGGCCAGCGCCTCTCGGGCAGGACTACGCAGCGCCTCAGGAGGCCCTCGGGATGACCAGCTGTTACGTGCCTTTTGGCCTGGGTATAAAGCAAAACCAAAACCAACCAACCAACACCAAAAACCTCCAACAATTTTTGTACGGCTGATGGTCCCACAGGGTCGTGGGGTGAGCCTCATGCTGTACTGAGGCACAGGATCCGAGAAATAAAGAGACAGGACACAGAAGTACAAGGAAAACGCAGCTGGACTCGAGGGGCCCCGCCACCTATGAGCGGAGTAGTCAGGCGAGGCCCCGAATGTCCAGAAGCGTGAGTATTTATTGTGTATAGGTTAGGGGGCAGGGCAGTGAGTGAAATCATCTTTAAGGATAGTGATAGGATCATGAGCAATAAAACATGGGGTCCACCCCCATTAGGTCACCTAGGCTAGGAGGTGGACAGTGCACAGCAAGGGGCTCATTCCCATGAAGGCAAGGGCCGTGTGCAGTAAAGAGTCCACCCCCATTAGGTCACCGAGGCTTGAAGGTGGGCCGTGCGCAGTGAAGAGGGTGCAGTGTGCAATACTTCTATCTATGGGCAAACTACTTCTAAGAGTATTTATGGCAGAATGCTTTAAGTCTCATAGTAGTGACAGAGCTGTCAAATGTTACCGCCACCTTCTGGCAGCTTCCAATGAGTTCTATGGGAGATGCTTTACAAGCAGCACAGTAGCAAGAGCTGATAAAGTTCACAGTCACCAAGGTGGATTGCCGTTCTGAGGGCAGCCCTCCACAAGAACTGGAGCAAGGTCCTACAACTCCTTTATCAGGAGGAGTGGCTCTCGTCCCAAGCCTGCCATACAGCGGGTATCTTTATTATACTGAATGCTGCCGCCTGGGCCGTGGATTCTTGTCCTGGTATAACTGTTTTCCTTTAAACCATGCTCTGCACTGTGTCTGCTCTAGGCATTCCGCCGATTATAAGCTGCTTATTCCTTAAGTCATGCTCTGTACTGTGTCCACTCTAGGCATTCCTCCAATTATGAACTAAGATACATATATACGTAGGGAAATATTCTTTAGGCACTCATACTATCAACTATTATATGATTATATACAGAGGATTATATAAAGGGATTCTATAAGCCCTGATTCTATAAACTAATATATGATTATGTAAAGGATTATATGAAAGGAAATAGCTGAGTAGTAACATTATAAACTGAGATATTCCTCAAGCCCTAACTGTGCCAGGGTTCTGCTTAGCTCTCATTCCTCCGTGCCTATATGGGGGGTTACCCACAATTTCATGTTGTCAGGAAGCTAACTTTAAAAGAACAAGCTTAGCAAACACTGATAAGGCTGATACTCTAGATACATCTTCAAGGCCTCTGCAGAAGGGACAAGGGAACTGAGACCAGACTGGCTCCCTCTGAGCTCTAAGGCCAAGTGTCCTGCACCGAAGGTCCAGCAAAGACAAAGACCAGAAGGCAGCAGCACCCTGTGCCTTCAAGAAGTTCAGGGGACAATGCGTGGGACACCCGATGGAAGTGGAAAGACCAGAAAGGCCATTAAACCCTGGTCCAGTCACAGGGCATGGGAGGAGACCTAGAACGCAGTCACTGCCTCCCACAGAGGGAGGATTTCTCCCTTCATCGCAATTTATATTTCTAGTCATTTGTGACTGCTGGTTTGCATCCAGGCAACCCAGGTAAACAGCCTAATAAGTGCATTTCTTAAGTTTTTTCGTGCTTACGTCATTATTCAAGAATCGCAAAATAGAAAGATGTACGTCAGATAGTATGAAGCAATGCAAATGCTTCTCTACTTAACTTGGAGAAGCCCCGATAATCCTATCTTAAAGTGCATAACTTTAGGTTGAATCCTCATAAGTCTAAATGCTCATGACTTACTACGGGGCTATGTATCGATAATCGCTTCATTAAGTCAAAAATATCCTAAACTGAATATGCAGGTAATAGCCAGAACATCCAGTTCCAAAGTTAAAAAACCATAAGGCAAACCATCGTGGCTGTGCGGCATCTGTAGCTAGATGGAATTAATGCACACACCAGCAAGGATGGAGCTCACAAAACAAGAAACAGAAAAAAAGACTTGTCTCAGGATGAAGAACTGTAAGTAGTGACATCCTAAAACCACTTTTTTTCTTTTTAAATTGAGACTGAGTTTCACCTTGTTGCCCAGGCTGGTCTCGAACTCCTGAGCTCAAGTGATCCACCCGCCTCAGCCTCCCAAAGTGGTGGGATTATAGACGTAAGCCATCGCTTAATACACAATATTAATACATCACTTAATATACCCCTTAATACATGCTTAAAACTACCCTTAATACGCAATCGTATAACTCTATGCCAGAATTAAAATTACTGCAAGTGCATTGACAAAGTGGTAAGACCTCAGGTAAGCTGCACCACACTGGATAGCAGCGTTTGCTGAGGCATGGGTCAAGCACTGGACTGTCTCTTCCAGACTTCTTCCTTTTGTAAGAGAAAAAGTAAACCAGACAAGCTCTGGTTTCCTGAAGAGATTCTTTCACAGGCAGGACGTAGCAGAGCCTGCGTCACCTTCTTCATAGAGAAGCTTTTCGGCGCGCACCAGTTGGTCCTGAATTGTTTCCTTTGCACGTCCTTCTTCCAGTGCTGCCGAGGCATCCAGCAAGGCATTGACTGAGAAGACAGAAGAAGAGACTGAGGGTCTTGATGCTCCAGGGATAATCAGCCCAGGATCGACATAGGACCCCGCACTTCCAGCACTGAATGCTCCAGAAGAGCTCTCTCAGCTATGGGGACAGCAGGTAGGACACTGTCCCTATTCCCTGCCCTCCTGTTGTGTCTCCAGCCACAAAATACTTACTCTCAGTGGGGTCAGCGTCATTCACTGGAACCTGCAGCCTCTTCCTCTGACACCCTTCGGCTTCTGCCTGTACCTGTAACACACAGTGGGGAAGGCTGTGATCAGTCAGGAGTCCTGCAGTCCAGTACTGACCCCGACCCCCAGCCAGCCCTGACATCTGCAGCACCTCCCCTCTCAGGTCTCCATGGAGATGGAGATAACCCTCTAGTTCTGCATAGCTCTCAGGTTCTATGTGACAGTGGCTCATTGAGACATAAGTGACATGCAGTAAGTGTTCACTGTGTAAGTGTTCTGTCCAGCTCTGACTACTGTATACGCTGGTGTAATCATCCCCTGATCAAGACACAGAACATTCCCACCACCTTAGAAAGTCCCCTTCTGCCCCATCTAATCAACTCCCACCCACCTTCACAGGAGATGATCACTTCCTTACAGAATTTTTACCAGCAGATGTCTCAGCAGAAGACTGTATATGAGAGCACCCAGGAAAATGTAACAAAATGATTCATTTCAAGACTGTAAATGATCTTGGATCATTAATACTGTACCATATCAATAGGGTAATTAAATAAAACATCAGGCTTTATAGAGGCTGGAAAGATATTTGGTAAAATTAAATACCTATTCTGATTTTTTTTCAAAACCTTTAGAATAGGAGGCTGTATTCCTGATGAGGAGAATTTCTATATGAAACCAAAATTGAACACCATTCCTAAGGGTGGCATGTTGGAGGCCTTCCCTGGAAATCAAATCAGGACCCAAACACCTGCCTTCCCAAGCACAGCTGAACACTGTTCTGAAAGGTCTGGCCTAGGAAACAAGATGGAAAACAAAAATGAGGCAAGACTCTTGGAAGGGGGCTGACACAATAATCATTTTCAATGTCATTTAAAATCCCTTAGAATGAAACTTTGACATTGAAATATAAATGTATGTCTGGAGGAAAGTTAAAAACATAGCAGATGCATTAAGTTTCTAATAGAAATTACAGGGCTATCCAAACTCATATGGTTACCAAATATTCAACATCCATAAGAAGAAACAGGAATAACTTATTGGAATACGAACACAAATCACAACTCAGTTACAATAAAATACTTGACTCCAAATGCTATCTTCTTTAATAAACTAAATATTTATGTTAATTTTTTTGAGACAGACTCTTTCTGTGTCACCCAGGCTGGAGCGCAGTGATGTGATCTCAGCTCACTGCAACCTCCACCTCCTAGATTCATGAGATTCTCCTGTCTCAGCCTCCTGAGTAGCTGGGACTACAGGTGTGTGCCACCATGCCTGGCTAATTTTTTTGTATTTTCAGTAAAGATGGGGTTTGACCCAGTTAGCCAGGATGATCTTGATCTCCTGACCTCATGATCTGCCTGCCTTGGCATCCCAAAGTGCTGGGGTTATAGGTGTGAGCCACTGCACCCAGCCTCTAGATTTTTAATTTTAAAGTGAATTGAAAAAAATGTGGAAAGTAATTGCATAACATGGACGAGTTTTTCCTGTTCTGTTCTTGTGATAGGGAATAAGACTCATAAGATCTGATGGTTTTGAAAGAGCAGTTCCCCTGCAGATGCTCTCTTGCCTGCCACCATGTAAGATGTGCCTTTGCTCATTCTTCCCATTGTGCCATAATTGTGAGACTTCCCAGCCATGTCAAAGTGTGAGTCCATTAAACCTCTTTTTCTTTACAAATTACCCAGTTTCAGGTATTTCTTCATAGCAATATGAAAATGGACTAATTCAAAGCCCTATTCAACAGATAATGCTGGGATATTTGGCTAGCCATATGCAGAAGAATGAAAACTATACTTCCACTTTTCACCATATACACAAATTAACTCAAGGTGGATTAAAGGTTTAAAAGTAAAACCATCAACTCTGAGAATCCTAGCAGAAAACCTAGAAAATACCCTTCTGTACATCAGCCATGGTAAATAATGTATGATTAAGCCCTCAAAAGCAATGCACCAAAAACAAAAATTGTCAAGTGGGACCTAATTAAACTAAAGACCTTCTGCACAGCAAAAGAAACTATCAACAAAAAGAAACTGTCAACAGGCCAGGTGCAGAGGCTCACATCTGTAATCCCAGCAGTTTGGGAGCCCGAGACAGGCAAATTACCTAAGGTCAGGAGTTTGAGAACAGCATGGCCAACATGATGAAACTCCATCTCTACTAAAAATACAAAAATTAGCCAGGCATGGTGGTGTGTGCCTGCAATCCCAACTACTAGGGAGGTTGAGGCAGGAGAATCAATTGAAACTGGGAAGTGGAGGGTGAACTCCAGCCTGGGTGACAAAGCAAGAATGTCTCAAAAAATAAAATAAAAAGAAAGGGCCAGGGGCGGTGGTCAAGTCTGTAATCCCGCCACATTGGGAGGCCGAGGTAGGTGGATCACAAGGGATCGAGACCATCCTGGCCAACATGGTGAAATACCGTCTCTACTAAAAATACAAAAATTATCTGGGCATGGTGGCATGCCTGTAGTAATAGCTGGAGGCTGAAGCAGGAGAATCACTTAAACTTCAGTGACGGTGGTTTCAGTGAGCCAAGATCATGCCATTGCTCTTCAGCCTGGTGACAGAGTGAGACTCCATCTCAAAAAAAAAAAAAAAATGCAAAGAGAGAAAAAACAATCAACAGAATAAATAGACAACCTACAGAATGGGAGAAAATAACTGCAAATTATCCATCTGACAAAGGTCTACTATTCAGGAGCTATATGTAACTTAATTGAACACACACAAAACAACCCCATTAAAAATGGGCAAAAGACATAAACAGGCTTTATGTCTCAAAAGAAGACATACAAGTGGCCAACCAACATATAAAAGAATGTTCATCATCATGAATTATCAGAGAAATGCAAAGCAAAACTACAATGAGATACCATATCACACAGTCAGAATGGCTATTATTAAAAAGCCAGTAACAACAAGTGTTTGTGAGGCTATGAAGAAAAAGGAACATTCATATACTTTTGGTGGGAATGTAAATTAGTTTAGCCACCGTGGAATGAGTTTGAAAATTTCTCAAATAATTTTAAAACAACTACTATTTAACCCAGTCACCCCACTATTGGGTATATACAAAAAACAAAACAAATTATTCTACCCAGAGACACCACTATCCATCATAGCAATGACATGGAATCAACCTAGGTTCCCATCAGCAGTGGATTGGATAAAGAAAATGTGGTATATATACACCATGGAATACTACAGAGTCATAAATAAGAATGAAATCATGTTGTTTGCAGCTCCATGGATAGACTGGAGGTCATCATCCTAAGCAAATGAATGTAGGAATGCAAAACCACATACTGTATGTTCTCACTTACAAATAGGAGCTAAACATGGGGTACTCATGAATATAAAGATGGCAACAACAGACACTGGGGACTACTAGTTGGGGGAGGGAGGGAAAGGAGGAGGGGATGAAAACTGTTGGGTACTATGCCCACTACCTGGGTGATGAGATCATTCACACCACAAATTTCAGCATCAAACAATATAACTAGGTAACACACCTGCTTATGTGCCCCCTGAATCAAAATACATTTTAAAAAGGAAAAAAAATGTTCCCTTTGGCAGTGAATTATACATAATATAATCCCTGCAATGTACATATTCATATGTGAAAATGTAGATACTCATGTATTAATATACATGGCATATGCATAAAGATTTCTACAAACAATCACAAGAAATTATGTATTGTATTATGAATTAAAAAGGGCTAGGGTCTGGACAAAGTGTTAGGGGACTCTCACTATGAGCACCTATCTATGGTATGGTAGATGTGTGGCTATGCATTTACCACTTTCAAAAAATGTGCAATGTGGCCGGCCGGGTGCAGTCGCTCATGATTGTAATCCATCACTTTGGGAGGCCAAGGTGAGAGAATCACTTGAGGCCAGGAGTTTGAGACCAGCCTGGGCAGCATAGCAAGATCAGATCTCTACAAATTACAAAACACATGTCCAGTGTGATTCAGCAGCATGGAATAATTGCTGACAGTTTTTATTTGTTTCCTTACCTTTGCATGCTTTTCTTTATTAAAAAAAAAGTGGTATAGGAATGTTGGGTGGAAAGTGATACTTGTCAAGATAAATTTTTTTTTTTCTTTTTGAGACAGAGTTTCGCTCTTGTTACCCAGGCTGGAGAGCAATAGCGCCATCTCGGCTCACCGCAACCTCCGCTTCCTGGGTTCAGGTAATTCTCCTGCCTCAGCCTCCTGAGTAGCTGGGATTACAGGCATGCACCACCATGCCCAGCTAATGTTTTGTACTTTTAGTAGAGACGGGGTTTCACCACGTTGACCAGGATGGTCTCGATCTCTTGACCTCGTGATCCACCCGCCTCGGCCTCCCAAAGTGCTGGGATTACAGGCTTGAGCCACCGCGCCTGGCCCAAGATAAATATTTAACAAGTGATCAAAGAAGAGCTAAAAGAGAAAAATTGGAGAATCAGTTCTTAAACAGGCTTGGAGGAAGGAAACAGTGACTCAGAACAGGGAGTTCCTCACTTTACACAGCATCACAAAAGAAATGGCACCTAGGTTCCATTGGTGTATGGTACAAACCAAATCGTTTTTTTAAAAGTCCATAAGAAATTAGATAGGATCATCTCATTTTATTTTGAAGGAAAGAACTTTTTGAAGCTTTAAAAAAATTAAAAATCTGTGTCCAGATTTCATACCTACTCAATATCATACCCAAACTGATGAACCGCTGTGAACATCTGGATGTGTGTGTTTGTGTGATACAAAAGCACTTCTATGCACTGACTCAGAAATCCTACTTCTTCCCAGAAGCCTCCTTACATACTTGATCGGAAATCTGGACAAAGATTTACTGTGAAACATGTACAATGTAGTAATTATTTTGGAGTAAATTTTAAAACTCCTGCTGTTTCAAGCAGGGGCTCCCTGAGTTCTGTTAGGAGCACACAGTGGAGACCATGCAGCCCTCATTCAGTCATCAACGAACCCTGTGACCCCCACTCTGTGCCTGTGGAGCTCCAGGTTCTGGGGACACAGCAAGGACAGGACAGGGAGTAAGAGGCAGATGTCTGCAGAGTGGCACAGTCGCCACCTGAGTGCAGCTGCTCCATCTCCTGCAGTCTCCTGTCTCCCAAAGGCTCCATGTCCCCCTAGGCCAGGAGAGCAGAGGCACTGCCCTCTACCCCTGTCTATGAAGCCCTGTGCAGGCAGCAGGCCAGGCATGGCACAGTCCATCCTCAACTCACCAGCAGACGCTGTGGCTCCTCTGGCGACCGTACAGTCACATGTATCAGCCCAGCCAGCTCCTGGTCTTCGATTTCCTGCTCAGGGACCTGGGTGGGCTGCAAGTCTCCATTATTCAGGATCTCGTTGTGGGCATTGTCCTCAGTCTCAGGCCTTTGTGAGCAAAAGCAATAACAGAAAACGACCCTGGGAAAGAAAACTGCCCACTCAGGTCCATACCCAGGGCTTGAATTCAGAGTCCCCAGTATGAAGCTGGACCTGCAATTCCCAACTCCTTCCAATGAGATCATCCCAGGCAGCTGAGGCTCAGCACATCCAGGACCCATTGCTGATGCAGGGCAGGTGGTCACCCCATCCTCAGGGTGCAGGCTGTGGGTGAGGGTGTCACCCAGGCTGCAGGAAGGACAGGGCTGTAGCAAGGCCAGCCAGTATGTGGGGTGTTCAAAAAGGCCACGTGTCCCCCACAGTCAATCCAGAGCCCCCAGGCCATGTCAGAGAGTGAGAGCCACCATGAGGACAAGGGACTGTGTCCTCCTGGGCCCTGCAGTTCCTGAACCCATGATGCCCCCAGTTTTTGGAGAAACCAACCCACTCTCTCCACACATCCAGGATCCCCTCCATCACCTGGAAGAGAAGGAGTCTCCCTAGCAGGCGGGGAGGGACCCATGAAGCACTTCCCTTCCAGAGGGCAGTGGGGGGCAGGGGCAGGCTGGGGGCTGGACACTGGACAAGGAGCCCCAGGCCTGGGGACAGCAATGAGCCCTTGCAATTCACCCAGAGAAAGGGGGAATACAAAGGGAACTAGAGTAAAAACAAACACATGGAAAATCTGTTTTCTGCTCTGTTCTGTTCTGACCAAGGCTGAAGAAATCTTGTGGCCAACTGTCATCCTGACCCTTGTCACCCAGTTGAGGAGCTGACTGCCCCCTGCCTGGCTGAGCCTGAAGATGGGAGGAACTGGCCCTGCCCTACTGGACTTGGCTGGGAAATGAGGGGACCTCCAGCTCCGGGAGAGGGACTGATGTGACCAGGGTCCTAGGAGGTGTACGGGAGGCAGGGATGGGGTGATCACAAGGAGGAAGATAGAGCCAGGCCAGAGACACTTAGACTAGAGGCAGGGACAGGCCTTTCTGTCTGTGGGAACAGAGTGGGAGAGTGTAGGGCAGAGAGTGCCCAGTGCCCCGCCCTCAGCCAGCACCTATCTGAGCGGATGACTTTCAGGAAAGAAGTGAGTTTCTTACCAAAGTAAAATACAAATGATGAGAACGCATCCTGCAATGATACATATGACAGAGAGAGAGAGAGCCAAAGGAGTCTCCAGGGTAGTGGTCGTTGTCTCCTCTGCAGCTGGGGTTTTCTCAGTGGAATTCACAGCTGATTTGTTGATGCAGGTATAATTACTGTCCAGGACCATATCTCCATGACACCTGAGTATATACAGGATGGGGAGACTCCTGAGGGTAAACTGGCCAGGTGGAATGAAAGAGGAGCCACCTTCCCCGTCCAATGTCCCTGAGAAGCCATCAGGGGAAGGAAGGGCTCCTCGTTTCTGCAGGGCTCCCCCATGCTCCCTGGTTGGGGCTGGGGAAGTGTCTGAGCATGCGTACTTCAGCCCCTCAGCCTTCCTGCTCTGCGGTCAGAGCTGCAGCTCCAGGAATCTTCTGTGCTGGGCACACACTGAACTTCCCTGGGCTGCAGGGGCAGCCTGCGTTAGGAGGAGCCGCACTCCAGGAGACTATCACAATCCCATGTGGCCGCAAGCTGAACCCCATCCTCCAGTTAACCCACAATACAAGTGAGCCCTCGCCCCTCCCTGTCTGCTGGTTCCTCCCAGTCACAGCAAACATTGTGGGGCCAGAGAAGAGCAAATTACTGTTTTCTCCTAAAAGTCAAATAGGAAAGAGAAGGACTTTTTGAGAAATCAGGGGTCAGGGGCAAGGCCGGCTGGGTGGGCTCAGCTCTTCCTGGGAACTTAAGAGAGCTCCACCCATGGCCTTACTGTGACTTTTGTGGGCTGGGGGCACTTTTGTCTTTATGGGTCCCTGTCTGCATAGAAAATGTTAAAAATTACATTTTTAAAAATCAACTTGGAATAAGGACAAATAAATACAAGCCACACTGGATTCAAGTGTTTTCTTCAGATTTCAAAAGGAAATCACATTTCCTAGGTCCCCTGAAAAGTATCAAAGAACCTAGAAAGTCACCTCCTGAGCCCGATGAACAATCTGGCCTGGCCAAAGGGACTCGTGCTGGGGAGGAGTGGGAAGGGCCTGCTGTAGGGGGCAGCGGTGGGGACAGGCACATGGACCAAGAGGGGCCACCACAGGCTCAGGAGACCCCACAAGCTCAGGGATGCCTCATGGGGCTGGAGTCTCCATGGGGTCAGGGGAGAGAAAGGGGTACCAGGTGACTCGGGTCTTCTCGGGTTCCTGAAAGCTGTTCGGGCTGTCTCACCCTGTGGGGCGCTTCCAGCACATCTCAGTGGAATTGTCATTCCGGAAAGTTCCTGGCTTGCACCGACACTCTGTGTCTCTGGTCGTGGTGCAGGGACTTAGCTCTTCTTCATCTGATGACAGAGCACAAGGTTTTGGCAATGAGTTCCCTGGCCTGTCCCTTGACCCTTCATCACCACCCCAACCCTTCCCACTCTACTCAACTCAGTTCGCCAAGGAGTTCTGAGGGCCGGTTCTGCACCAGCACACTCGGGGCTCATATAGGACACTCACCCTTCAGCTGTCACCAAACCTCAGGGTCATACAAAAGGACCATAATTCATTAATTATTACATCAGATTAGGGGAAAAGCATCATTTAGATCACATGTTCAGGGAGGTGCAGGGGCATCACCTGAGAGACTCTGCAAGGAGAGGAGCACTTAGGTGACTTCCCCAAAAGCCCCTGCCCTGCTGCAGAACAGAGAGGGGCCTGAGAACCTAAAGGCTGAGTGAGGCCGAGCACCTTCCAGGAGCACAGAGCCCGGGGAGAGAGCCCGGCCCCGGAGCAGACCTGCGCTACCGCTGACACCCAGTCCTGTCCACTCGGCCAGGACTTCTCTATGCCATAAACATCCCACCACCTCCTTGCAGCCGATAGTTTAAAAGATTTCCCAGCCAGGTGGCATGTATTATAAAAAAGATTTCTATTTTTTTTCCATCAACCAAAGTCATAATCACGGAACAGGGTATGATGAACACCAAGCTGGGCTGGAACTCGGTTCCCTGACTCACATCGGCTACACTCCCACCTAATCACTCGGCACACCACATCTGGGCAAGGGGTCCACACATTCTGTACCTGATTTACAAACTTTACATCGGAGGCAATAAGGCAAAGTGTTGGGGACATTGGTATAATCCACACCCTCTCTGCACCCGGTACACTTTCCAGCAGGTTCTCTATAAGATCCTGGGAAGGGAGAGAAAAGCCAATGAATGAGTTGCCACAGAATTCCCAGAGGCTGACAGTGGCTGGGAAACTCCTCTTTTGGCCCTCAGTGGAATCCAGACAGAGAAATCTACTCTTCCAGGCTTGGTCTTCTCATCAGTTCTGCATCTATTACATACTTTTGACTGGCATCACTAAAAGAAATATAAGACAAGCCACATAAGAAATTCAAATTCCATAAGAACCATATTAAAGTAGTAAAAATAATAGGTCATTACTTTTAACAATCCATTTTTAATCTAAAGTATCCAGAACACTACACTTCAATATGTAATCAATATTAAGTTTTTGAAATATTATTATTATTATTATTATTATTATTTGGAGACAGAGTTTTGCTCTTGTTGCCCAGGCTGGGGAGAAGTGGCACAATCTGGGCTCACTGCAGCCTCCACCTGCCAGGTTGAAGTGATTCTCCTGCCTCAGCCTCTGGAGTAGCTGGGATTGCAGGCACCCACTACCACACCCAGCAAATTATCTATATTTTTAGTCATGACGGTATTTCCCCATATTGGGCAGGCTGGTCTGGAACTCCTGACCTAGGTGATCTACCCACCTCTGATTCCCGAAGTGCTGGGATTACAGATGTGAGCCACAACACCATGTCATGCCCAGTGTGCTGTTTTTTGTTTTGTCGGGTGTTTTTTTTTTTAACAATAAAGTAACAAAATAAAATCCAACCTCTTTGACATGTGATCTGCCTACGCTGCCCACCTGACCTGTCTGCTGTCCACTCACCACAGTGGCCCTGTCTTTGCTCAGTATCCCCCCGCCCCTGCACCCTGGGCCTCTCATTCCTGGGGAGGCTGCTCAGGAGCACTATTTCTGGCTCTCTGCAATGCTAGCCCTGTCCAGCTTTGGATACTGGCCAACATCACCATCGCTGAGAGGCCCCACCAACCTCAACTTTGTCTTACTCATCACTTAATGATTCTTCATGATTCCTATCAGGAATTTCTCATTGTTATGCTGATGTGTGTATCTTAATACTACCCCAGAAAAAAAGGTTTCATGAGGGCAGGACCTCTTATAAGCCCCATGACCATGGTGCCTGATTCTCAGAAATCATCCAACCTATCCCTATGGAATAAAGAATGAGCAAGTGCAAGAAGAAGGAGTCTGGAAGAACATCAAGATAAGGGCATGATAAGATGCGCTATCAGTCTTAGATTGTGCCTGCCAGCTAGCACTATAGACTCAGGATCCTGGCCCACCTCTATAGACTCAGCCTCCAGGTCTGCCATAGTGCCAGGTCAGTCCCCATAAACTCATGGTCTATGCCCTTCCCTGTGGACCTAGGAATGAAACCCATCACAGCACCTGGCTGACATCTGCAAACCCAAGTTTAAGGCCCACTCCAGTGTCAGTTCAGACCCTATGAACACAGGCCTCAGGTCGCCTCTCTGGATACAGCCTCTGACCACCCTTGAACCACACCACATGGCCTCCCCAGAATCTGTGAACGGCTGAACGGTGAAGGGCGTTCCCTAACAGAGCCAGTCTGTAAAGACTGGAATAAGTCCCTGCTGCTTCAAAGCACACATTCCAACACATTGCCACAGGCTGCTGAGCCATCAGGGAACCATGACAGCACCAAAGAAACAAAATAAAGCACAGGTAACTACCCTAAACTAATAGAGGTTTACAAAAGGCTGACAAAGAATCGAAAATACACCATCTTAAAGAAGCTCAGTCAGCTACTAGAGAATACAGATAGACAACTACGTGAAGTCAGAAAAACAATACACGAGCAAAACAAGAAGTTCTGTATACACACAGACACCATACGAAAGAACCAAGCAGAAATTCTAAAATTCAACAACAGAATATCTGAACTAAAAAATCCCACAGACAATATCAATAGCAGAGTTGATTAAGCAGAAGAAAGAATCAGTGAGCTTGAAAACAGATCATTTGAAATTACCAAGTCACACTCAGGAAGAAAAAGAAAATAAAGAATGAAAAAGACAGAAGAAAGCCAACAGTACCAATGGTTACTGTGAAGCAAAACAATACATGCATCATCCTGCTGTGGGATGTGCTGGGTTTTGGGTCAGGGAGATGAAGAACAGATGTGTTATATCAAAAACCAAATAAACAGGGAAAGGAATTATCAACTGGGCAAAAGATGCTGTGGTATGATTGGTTTTTAAATAACTTACATTGGGCCTAAAAATGGATGTCAAGGCAGCAACTTAAATAAATTTATGACAGTGGTGAAAGATCTGAAAACTGTTAAAACATTGATGTAAGAAATGGAAAGTGTTACAAATAAGTGGACAATACATGTTCATGGATTAGAAAACTCAATGTTGTTTAATCATCCATACTACCCAAATGATCTATAGATTCAATGCAATGCCTATTAAAATGCCAATGACATTTTTCACCAAAATAGAGAAAACAATTCTAAAATTTGCATGGAACCACAAAAGACCTCAAATAACCAAAGAGATCTTTAGCAAAACAAACAAAAAGAACAAAGTTGAAGGCATTGTACTACTTGATTTTAAAATATATTACAAAGGTATAGTAAGCAAAACGGAATGGTCATGACATAAAAAAAGATAAATTGATGGAATGAAATAGGGTCTCAGCAATGATTTCTTGGCTATGGCCCCAAAAGCACAGGCAACAAAAGCAAAAATATATAAGATTACATCAGACTAAAAAGGTTCTGTACAACAAAGGAAACAATGAACAGAGTGAAGAAACAACTACAGGATGAGAGATCAATATCCAAAAGATCCAAGGTTTTGGTTAATATCCAAAATACACAGAAAGTCATACATCTCAACAGCAGATAATCAAATAGTCCAATTAAGATGGACACACAGGCAAGGGGCCTGAAGAACAGACACTTCTCAAAAGGAGACATCAAAGCGGCCAACAGATATACAAAAATAGTGTGTTGTCAACATCACTCATCAGGGAAATACAAATCAAAGCCACAATACAATATCACTTCACACCTTTAAGAATGGCTATTAGCCAAAATACAAAGAATAGCAAGTGTTGATGATGATGGGGAGAAAAAGGGACGCTGGTACACTGTCAGTGGGAATGGAAATTAGTACAGCCATTTGGAAAACAGGATGGAGGTTCCTCACAAAAAATAGAGCAACTATATGAGCTGGCAATCCCATTATTGGGTGTATATCCAAAGGAAATGACATCAGTATGTTGAAGAGACATCTTCTCTCCCATGTGTACTGGAGCATTATTTACAATGGTCAAGACATGGAATCAACCTAAATGTCCATCGATGCTTGAAAACATATAGAAAACGTGGTAACACAGACACAATGGAATACTATTCGGCCTTAACAAAGAAGGAAATTCTGTCATTTGTGACAGCATGGATGAACCTGGAGGATACTATGCTAAGTGAAATAAGCCAGGCACAAAAGACAAACACCTCACCATCTCACACATGTGGAATCTGAAAAAGTTGATCTCAGTGAGGTAGAGAGTAGAATGGTGATTACCAGGGCTGAAGTTGGATGCTGGGTCGGGGAGATGTTGGTCAAAGGATACAAAGGATGTTGGTCAAAATTTCAGTTAGACCAGGGGAAAAATTCAAGAGATGTCTTGTGGGGCATGGTGACTACAGTTAGTAAAACAATGTGTTGTACACTCCTTCCTTCTATTCACAGGGAATATCTTCCATGGAGCAAATTGCACATACTCAGGTTCCTGATATAAATTGGGGTGGTATTGCAGATAAGCCAGGCACATATGCTTTAGATCTGTCTAGATTACTTGTAATACCTAATACAATACACATGCTATGTAAGTAAGTGCTATACTGCATTGCCTTTTATCTACCTTTATTGATGTAGTATCACTTTTATTGTTTTTTTCACATATTTTTGATCTGCAGTTTGTTGTGACCAGATGCAGAACCCACAGAAAAGCAAGACTATAGAACCTACACATAAAAAGGACAGAGAGGGCTTATGCCAGGGCTCTGTATCCAGAGAGCTGAAAATTGCTAAGAGCAGATATTAAGTGTTCTTACCACAAATATATAAGTATGTGAATTAGCTGGATTTGGGCATTCCACAATGCATACATAGTTCAAAACGTCATGAGGTATACCATAAATATATACAATGTTTATCTGTTAATAAAATAAATTGATTTTTAAAAATAAAAGTGCACCTGCTGGACACTCCTCCTTGAGGCTGGACCTTTGTGGCTGTTGTTTCACTGTCTCCTGGGGAGCTTTGTACAGCGGGGCGTTGTCGATAGGGGCACCTTGGACCTGTGGGGACAAAGCATAGATGGGCGTGAGTGGCTTCCAGACCTCACCTCTCCCAGGCTCCATCTCACACTCCCTTCACCCCAAGTGACAAAAGCCATCAGAGCTTAAACCGTTTTTCCAGCTCCAAACCTTCATTCTTTTGTATGTGTGTCTGTCCCTTGGCCTGTTAGGGCAGCTATTTTCTATAAAGAAAAACTCCTCTGTATCCTTTCCTCATATTATAACATAAAATACCTTTACCCCAGAAAATGTGAGCAAGAAGAGTTATTTGTTTTCCTTTTGACAGAGTCTTGCCATGTTGCCCAGGCTGGAACGCAGCAGCTATTCACAGGTGTGATCATAGTCCACTACAGCCTGGAACTTCTGGCCTCTAGTGATCCTCCTGCCTCAGTCTCCCAAGTAACTTGGGTAACAGTTACTCACCACTGTGGTTGGCAAGAAAACATTTTATAAGAATAAACACACACACACACACGAGAGAGAGAGAGAGAGAGAGAGAGAGAGAGAGAGAGAGAGAGAGAGAGATATGAGCCCTTCAAGCAGAAATAGCATCTAATATATTTAGTTTGGTCAAGTGTTTAATTAACCAATGGGTGAATTCTCTCTCTCACACACACAAACACACACAGACACACATATAAACATACATGTTTTCACAAATGAGGGTTATAATATATATAACCTTAAAGAAAGTCAGGATATAGCATCCAACATAAGTAATTAATTTCTGCTTTACAAAGGACTTTGACAAGCTGTTCCCACTAAATATCAAAGTGTCGCAGAAAAGGATGAACCAGCAATTCAGGGACTCTGGCCATGATCTTTGTGTTATAAATGACGACTAGAAGACAACTGGAGAAATCGGAATAGAGGCTACGTTACACGTATTAGATAGTGGTAATGTGTTAATGTTAATTTCCTTGTTTGTAGAAAGCACACACAAAAAATTCAATAATAGCATTCATCATGTCAACAACTATTATTCAAATTTTTTTTGGATTCTTTTTTTTAACTTTTCTTAAACTGAGATTGTTGTAAAGTACAAAATTAATTGTAAACTTAAATTCAATTACATTTTATCTAATTTTGCTTCTGAGCAAAAACAAAATGGTTACAAAAAAAGCTACTTACCTTGGGCTCAGTTCAACTGCCTGGATCTAAACAAGACAAAATGTAGTGTTGGTCCCCATCAAGGCCTGCCAAGTAGTTGTTGACAGTGAAGCTAAGGCATGTTTCCCAAATCCTTCCTTCACGGGCTGGGCTCCCTCTAGGTTCAGGTAATGTCTGTGTCTCCTTTCTCTGCTCTCACATTGTTACTCTCTCTCACCCAACGATGGGTTTATAAGGTTTTATTTTTTAACCCTTTCAGAAGGTCAACTTTTCATTTTGTCAATTTATTATTATTATTATTATTTCTTGGAGATGGTGTCTCCCTCTGTCATCTAGTTAAAGTGCAGTGGCGTAATCTCTGCTCACTACAACCTCTGCCTTTTCTGCCTCCCGAGGTCAAGTGGTCCTCCCTCCTCAGTCCCCCAAGTGGTGGGGACCACAGATAGGCATGTGCCCCAACACTCAGCTAATATTTGTATATTTCTTACAGCTGGGATTTCGCCTTGTTGCCCAGACAGGTCTAACTCGCGACCTCAAGCATTCTGCCTGCCTGGGTCTCCCAAAGTACTGGGATTACAGGCGTAAGCTACCACACACAGTCCATTTTGTTAATTCTTTTTGCAGGTTTCATTCTGTTTCCTTGATTTATGTTCCTCTTTGTTACTTTGTTTGGTTGAATTTTTTTTTTTTTTTTTTTTTTTTGAGATCAAGTCTCACTCTGTCGCCAGGCTGGAGTGCAGTGGCACGATCTCAGCTCACCGCAACCTCCACCTCCCAGGTTCAAGTGATTCTCCTGCCTCAGCTTCCCAAGTATGTGGGACTACAGGCAGGTACCACCACCCCCAGCTAATTTTTTACATTTTCAATAGAGACTTGGTTTCAACCATGTTGGCCAGGATGGTCTCAATCTCTTGATCTCATAATCCGTCCACCTCAGCCTCCCACAAATGCTGAGATTACAATCGGGAGCCACTGCACCCAGCATGTTTGATTTAAATTTACACTTATATTTTATGATTGATTAATGTAGATCTTTAGGCCATAGGTTTCACATTTTTTTCTTTTTTTGACAGTTTTAATGAGACAACAGTTTACATCATTAATAATAACGATTATTCATATATTTTACCCACTTAAAGTCTACATTTCCATAGTTTTTAATATGCTCACAGCTATGCAATCATCACTATAATCAATCTCAGAATATTTTCATCACTCCAAAAAGGAACTGCATATCCTTCAGTAGTAACTCCCCACCTCCCCAACCCCCAGTTCTTTCACAGGAACACTGAAAGCTGAATATTTCACCCCAGCACTGTTAGCCACTTCCCACCAGTTTTTGTGTTATATTGTCCTTATTATTTATTTTGAAATATTTTCCTCCCCTTTTTACTTCTTCTCTGAAGCACAGATTTCTTCCAAGTGTGTTGTTCAATAACCAAATTTTAGAGTTCTCTGTAGATACTGTTACTGATTTCCAGTTTAGTTTCATTAAGTTTAGAGATCATATTGTATGTTTTATAGCCCCAAACCTGGTCTACCTTGGCAAAAGTATCATGAGCATAGAAAGGAATGAGTGTTCAGTGGACGTTCTACTCCTCCTCTTTAAACGTCAGTTAAATCTAAGTGGTTGAGAGTGTTCATATCGCTTGCCGCTTAGCTGGTGTTTTCATCTGAGTTCTATCAAATGCGGAGAAAGGGGAGATGTAATCTCCTTTTCATTCTACTTTTGCATCATGTGTTTTTAAGCTGTATTAAAAACATGGCAAAACCCTATCTCTACTAAATACACAAACATTAGCCGGGCATGGCGCGGGCACCTGTAATCCCAGCTACTTGGGAGGCTGAAGCAGAAGAATCGCTTGAAACTAGGAGGCGGAGGTTGCAGTGAGCCAAGATTGCACCACTGCACTCTACTCTGGGTGACAGAGCAAGACAGCATCTCAAGAAAAAAAAAAAAAGTATGTGCTTTTCTCCTGTGCACCTGTCTCATGTCGATTTATTTCTCAGGCCCAGCCAAAAAAAAAAAGGAGCCCTTAAAGGGAAGCTTAGCTTCCCTCCAGGAACCCTCAGTTGTGACTATAACCAAACAACAGCCTTAGGCCAACAATACCACATTCTGTGGCTTTGCACCAGGGCGGCCTCCCTCCAGCACGGCCTCTGTGGAGGAGGAGAAGCAAGTGGGACCTCAGGCCTCCCTCATGCTACTTCCTATTAGTGATATGATCCCTGCTGCCACCTCTCCCACCACACTATGGGCTTCAGGGAACAGGATTCACATGGGACTCGTTTGTCCTCCCTGGCTCCAGCAGACTCCAGGCACAGGTGTTCTCAGAGTCAAGGGCTCACTGCCTAAATCCTGGGTGAATCCTTTCCCCCCCAAGCCCATAAGGTGAGCGCAGTGGTGGCCTCAGCTCACCGCTTAAGGACAGGCTCCAGTCTGCGGCACAGGGAGGGGACCCCAGAGAGCCTGTGGACTCTGCTGAGGAACCACAGGAGCTCCCAGAGGGCCAAGTGCAGAGCAGAGATCTGCACCGAGAAACAGCTGCTCAGAGAACTCTAGCCCTGCAGAGGCACAAATATGTTGCTATTATACAGGAGGTGAGGCCCAAAATGCTAGAGACATTGCTCCTAAATCTCATTTTTGCCACTTGTAAAACAGAAAACAACCCGCCCTCCTCTCCCCGGGTTGTTAGGAAAATCCACCACATGACGATGTGCAGTCTCTGGCTGGGAGCAGGACACCAGCTGCCCAACAGCACAGGCTCGGGGCAGGGCACCGTCCCCACTGTCCCCATCTCCAACCTGGAAGCTAGAGCCTCAATGCTCTGTCACTCCTGGATACAGGACAGAGGACCAGAACTGGGGCTGTGGCCCCTCCATAGAGGCTGCGTGAGCACCCATCTACAGCCGTGTAGATGGAGACCCTTCCTGCTCACTCCTAAAACAGCAACCTGGATTGGGCGTCTACCAGGAGGACAACTGGAAGTGAGACAGGTGAACCAGGCTGTGGCCCTGCAGTGCCATCGCTGTCCTCACTTGAAGTCTGGCTCCTCTGTTCCTCCATGGCTCCTCCCCATGGCGCTCCACCCCAGTCTTCAAAGGCTTCTGCCCCAAGTTCAGGGAGCCCGTACCGAGGTGCAGGTAGGGGCAGGTGAAGCCTCTGCTGAGTGGAGGACACGTGTCCTCAGGATCCAGTCCAGAGTGACTGACACCAGCCCTGAGGATATGATTTGTCCTCCGACACCTGCAAACACAGCCCTCTGAGGTTTACACAGGGCTGCTGAAGATATGTTATCTCCTCTTCATTTTACAGGCAGGAGCTGGGGCCACACCAGAGTCACAGAGCTGACTCTGAGGAAGCACGGCAGGGCCCGGCTGTCCCAGCCTCCAATTCCAGGAGTCCTTGATAGCCTGAGAGTCCGGGATTCTGAACCTTAGTAACTTCTCGATTCCTACTTTGATAGAGAGAGAGGTGGGGGGTGGAAGGACCTGACCCAGAGATTGGGCCAAACCAGCACTGACAGAGCCAGAACTGGGGTCAGGAACTGAGCTCAGCCCCAGGCTCATCTGATGTCATCCTGACAGCCTGAGGCCACAGACCTTATCTCTATTCACAGGCATGGCAGGTGGCAGCGACTGGCCCCAGCTGACCACGGTTTCCCAAGTGCACAGCTGGGAATTCAGTCTCCCTGCCGCCCTCCCCTGCTGTCTCATCTGGGGTCTCCAGGTCATGTACTCCCAGTATCAAAAAACTCCTGCATCCTTGAAAATCCCTAATACCATGAAGGAATGAAAATGCATAACAATGTGATGCGTCATGTTTTACTCCTTAGACTAGTAAAGAATGAAAGCTAAGGGTAGCCAGGGTGTAGGGACACAGGCATGTTTGTAGACCAGGTGTGGGTGTAAGCTGGCTTCAATGGTCTTTTGGAGGAAAATTTGTGAACATCTACAGAAACTTCTGAAGTCACTTATCCCACAGAAGTAGAAGTAAAATTCTACTTCTAAAGAGTTGTCCAATAAGCTGGTGCACATGGACATGTGGACACAAGATACACACAAGGTTATTTAGAACAATGCTGGTGGAATCAGCAGAGGCAAAGTCAGGATGGGATCTCACCAGCTGCTCCTAGGTGGCAACAGTGAATTAAACTGTGACTCACCCACGCAGTAAAATACAATACCTTGTTAAAAAGATGATGAATCTGAATGTACTGCCTGAGAACATCTAATGTGATTTGTGTTCGCTCCAAAGTTTTTAAAAGCGATTGTGCATTGAAATGCATTTATGAAGGCAAGACTGACGGAGGGATTAAAGCCTCCTTTGGGACATAGAGAGCTCACATTCCCAAAACTGTGAAATTCAGGCTGCTGACCTGTGTACACAGGTCACCCACACATTCTCTCTTCAGGACCACTGTCGTGACACAGCCATTCCCCGAGCTGCCTTCAAGGAAGGTCCACCCACTATAAACTATTTCAGAAGTTAGTTGTATCATTTTTGACATGGTGAAAATGTGACTGCAACCTTGTTTTGCTCCCCCCACAACCCCACCCCACCTTCCCAGCTCTTCTTTTGTATTATATAAGGAACCTTAGAAAGTGCTGTTGGCAAAAACCTCAATCACTCTGAAAAAGTCCTGGAAGTCTGCAACTTGTATGTATGTATGCATGTATGCATTTACTTATTTATTTATTTATTTGAGACAGAGTCTCGGTCCGTTGCCCAGGATGGAGTGCAAATGACGCAGTCTCGGCTCACGGCAACCTCCACCTCCCGGATTCAAGCAATTCTCTTGCCTCAGTCTCCCGAGTAGCTGCGCTTCCGGCTAATTTTTGTATTTTTTTAGTAGAGAAGGGGTTTCGTCATCTTGGACACGCTGATCTTGAACTCCAGACTTCCTGATCCAAAAGTGCTGTGATTACAGGCGTGAGTCACCACACCTCAGCCTTCCGAAGTGCTTGGATTTACAGGCGCGCCAGGCCCATTTTATTTATAACATGTCCTCGCTGTGCACACCGCTATCAATCTGTTTCCAAAGCCAACTCACAAGGAGAAACTACACACCATTTATGCTGAAAGAAGGCGCCAGCCCTGAGTCCTGCCTGTGGGAGGCAGAAGGGACACGGGTGGCCACGGAAGACACTGACCGCGAACACGTTGGTTTGCAGCTTCCTGCCCTTCCCCGGACACTTTCAGAGCAGAGGAAATGGAAGTGGTAAAATAGCCGTCGTCGGAAAGCTCTTTCAGTGGGTGTTAAATCAGTCTTCGAGAAACATGTTTTACAGTGTAAAAACCAGGTTACTGTTACTAAATAACGAAAGAGGCAACGTCTCTGCGGCTTCCCGAGGTTTCACACAGAAATTTCCATCTTGACTCCACCCCTCCATTGTTTCTGGAACTCTCTACGGGGCAGCTCAGTGCGGTCCTTGCCGCAGGGGACAACCGGGGGGAGCGGGCGCGCTGCTCTGTCGCGGCCGGGTCGCTCCAGCCCAGCCCGGGACCCAGTTCTTCCAGGAATCGCAGCCGCAGCCACCCGGGCCAGGCATCCCCGCCGCGTCCCCCTCCCCGTCCCCTCTCCCCTTGGCCCTTCCCGGCCTGCGCCAGGCGCGTTCTTTCCCAGCCACCGACCGCGGCGGGGACTTACCGGCAGGTGACCAAGGAGCAGGAAGATGACGAAGAAAAGGGTCTTGCGGCCTGGAGCCATGACCCGGTTCCCGGCGCCGTCCTGGGTCCTGGGTCGCGCCCTGCTCAAGCCGTCGAGGCGGCCGGGACGCTCTGTCCCCGAAGTTCCACGAGGCGGAGGGGGGAGGAGGTTGTACCTCCTGAACTTTGGGTCAAAAGCCCCAAAATCAATCAGAAATCCTCCGGAAATCCTTAGTTGGCCGGCGCCGAGAACTTCCCACCCCCGCTCTGCGTGGACCCGAGCGCGCGGCCCGCTTTTATGCCTGGGGCGGGGCGTGGTCTCGGGAAGGGTGGGTACCTGGACCGACAGAAACTAGTTCTGGCCGGCAGCGGTGACCCGGGAAGTGTGGTTTGATTCCGGGTGATGCCCAGGCTGTGGACCGCACAAGGCGAAGCAGGGCGGGAGCCTGCTCCCTCCCCCGGACCCCTGTCTCTCCTCTTCCTTTTTTTTTTTTTTTAATATATATCTATGTTTTATTACACTTTAGGTTCTGCAGTACATGGCATATGTGAAGAACATGCAGAATTGTTGCATCGGTACATAAATGGCAATGTGGTTTTCTGCCGCCATCCCCATCACCTATATCTGGCATTTTCCGCCATGTTATCCCTCCCTAACTCTCTACTCCTCACTGTCCTTCTCCTAGTCTCCCCGACAGACCTCAGTGTATGACGCTCCCCTCCCTGTGTCCAAGTATTCTCATTGTTCGACACCTGCTTATGAGTGAGAACATGTGGTGGTTGATTTTCTGTTGTTGTGTCAGTTTGCTGAGAATGATGGTTTCAAGGTTCATCCATGTCCCTACAAAGGACACGAACTCTTCATTTTTTATGGCTGCATAGTATTCCGTGGTGGATATGTGTCATATTTCCCGTGTCCACGCTATCATCGATGGGCATTTTGGTTGGTTCCAAGTCTTTGCTATTGTAAACAGTGCTGCAGTGAACATACATTTGCATGTGTCTTTATAATAATAGAACCATTTATAATCCTTTGGATATATACCCAGTAATGGGATTGCTGGGTCAAATGCAATTTCTGTTTCTAGGTCCTTGAGGAATCACCACACTGTCTTCCACAATGGTTGAACTAATTTACACTCCCACCAACAGTGTAAAATTGTTCCTGTTTCTCCACATCCTCTCCAGCATCTGTTGTCTCCAGATTTTTAAATGATGGCCATTCTATCATGAGATGGTAACTCAATGTAGTTTTGATTTGCATTTCTCTAATGAGCAGTGATGATGAGCATTTATTCATGTTTGTTGGCCTCATATATGTCTTCTTTAGAAAAGTGTCTGTTCATATCCTTCACCCACTTTTGAATGGCTTTGTTTGCTTTTTTCTTATAAATCTGTTTTAGTTCTTTGTAGATTGTGGATATAAGTCCTTTGTCAGATGGGTAGATTGCGAAAATTTTTTCCCATTCTGTTGGTTGCCAGATCACTCTAATGATTGTTTCTTTTGCTCTGCAGAAGCTGTGGAGTTTAATTAGATCCAATTTGTCTATTTTGGCTTTTGTTGCCAGTGCTTTTTGTGCTTTAGTCATGAAGTCCTTGCCTATGCCTATGTCCTGAATGGTTTTGCCTAGGTGTTCTTCTAGGGTTTTTTATGGTGTTAGGTCTTATATTTAAGTCTTTAATCCATCTGGAGCTAATTTTAGTGTAAGGTGTCAGGGAGGGGGTCCAGTTTCTGCTTTCTGCACCTGACTAGCCAGTTTTCCCAACATCATTTATTAAACACGGAATCCTTTCCCCACTGCTTGTTTTTGTCGGGTTTGTCAAAGATCAGATGATTGTAGATGTGTGGCATTGCTTCTGAGGCCTCTGTTCTGTTCCATTGGTCTATATCTCTGTTTTGGTACCAGTACCATGCTGTGTTGATTACTGTAGCCTTGTAGTATAGTTTGCGGTCAGGTAGCATGATGCCTCCAGCTTTGTTCTTTTTGCTTAGAATTGACTTGTCTATGTAGGCTCTCTTTTGGTTCCATATGAAGTTTAAGGTGGCTTTTTCTAGTTCTGTGAAGAGGGTCATAGGTAGCTTGATGGGCATAGCATTGAATCTATAAATTACTTTGGGTAGTGTGGCCATTTTCACAATATTGATTGTTCCTAACCATGAGCATGGAATGTTTTTCCATCTGTTTGTGTCCTCTCTATTTCCTTGGGCAGTGGTTCGTAGTTCTCCTTGAAGTGGTCCTTTACATCCTTTGTTTGTTGTATTCCTAGGTATTTTATTCTCTTTGTAGCAATTGTGAATGGCAGTTCGTTCTTGATTTGGCTCTCTTTAAGTCTGTTATTGGTATATAGAAATGCATGTGATTTTTGCACATTGATTTTGTATCCTGAGACTTTGCTGAAGTTGCTTATCAGTTTCAGGAGATTTTGGGCTGAGACAATGGGGTCTTCTAAATATACAATCATGTCATCTGCAGATAGAGACAATTTGACCTCCTCCTTTCCTAATTGAATACCCTTTATTTCTTTTTCTTGCCTGATTGCTCTGGCTAGAACTTCCAATACTATATTGAATAGGAGTGGTGACAGAGGGCATCCTTGTCTAGTGCCAGATTTCAAAGGGAATGCTTCCAGTTTTTCCCATTCAGTATGATATTGGCTGTGGGTTTGTCATAAATAGCTTTTATTATTTTGAGATACTTTCTGTCGACACCTAGTTTATTGAGAGTTTTTAGCATAAAGGGCTGTTGAATTTTGTCAAAGGCCTTCTCTGCATCTATTGAGATAATCATGTGGTTTTTGTCTTTGGTTCTGTTTATGTGGTGGATTATGTTTATAGACTTGTGTATGTTGAACCAGCCTTGCATCCCCAGGATGAAGCCTACTTGATTGTGATGGATAATCTTTTTGATGTGCTATTGCAATTGGTTTGCCAGTACTTTGTTGAAGATTTTTTCATCTATGTTCATCATGGATATTGGCCTGAAGTTTTCTTTCCTTGTTGAGTCTCTGCTGGGTTTGGTATCAGGATGATGTTGGTCTCATAAAATGATTTGGGAAGGACTCCCTCTTTCTGTATTGTTTGGAATAGTTTCAGAAGGATTGGCTACAACTGTAAGTGCTGGAAGCAGTGGTGACTCCTAAGCCAGAAACTGAGACAATGTGTTGAGACATTCTGTCAGTTTTCTTAAGGACCTGATGGGTGTGCGTTGTGCTTTGCCACACCTGGCAAAATAGAAGCTAACAGTATATGCAGCTATATTGCCTGATATGGTTTGGATATGTGTCCCCTCCAGGAAGTGAGGGACACTGACAAAGGACCACCTTTGTCACACTGCTATAAAGAATGACCCGAACCTGGGTAATTTATAAAGGAAAGAGGCTTAATTGACTCACAGTTCCACATGGCTGGGGAGGCCTCAGGAAACTTACAGTCATGGTGGAAGGCGATGGGGAAGCAGGCACCTTCTTCACAAACTGGCAGGAGGGAGAGAATAGAGTGAAAGAGGAACCAACAAACCCTTTAAAACCACCAGATGTCGGGAGAACTTACTCGCTGTAAGGAGAACAGCCTGAGGAAACCACCCCCATGATCTAGTCACTGCCCCCAGCTCCCTCCCTTTTCATGTGGGTATTACAAGTTGAGATGAGATTTGTGTGGGGACACAGAGCCAAACCATGTCAGACCACCTACTTGTGATTGCCCCTGAAGAGGGGGGCGTCTTGTGGGATGGACTCCTTAACCTGTGGGGTCGGCCAGACCTCTGACTAGCGTCAGAAGTGAATTCATTTAGGGGATACTCATGTGAGGTGGGAGAATTGGTCAGAGTGGGAAAAACCCACACAACTGTTCACAGAAGCATACTGAACTGTTAACATATTGATCAGTGTAGGCTGAGCCCAGTGGCTCAGGCTTGTAATCCCAAGATGTTGGACGCCAAGGCAGGCAAATTATGAGGTCAGGAGATCCAGACCATCCTGACTAACACAGGGAAATCCCATCTCTAATAGAAATACAAAAAATTAGCTGGGCGTGGTGGCACGTGCCTGTAATCTCAGCTACTTGGGAGGCTGAGGCAGAAGAATAGCTTGAACCTGGGAGGTGGAGGTTGCAGTGAGCCAAGATCATACCACTGCACTCCATTTTGGGCCACAGAAAAACTCCATCTCAATAAATAATAAATAAATAATAAATATTGATCAGTCTAATTTCTTAATATTTTCTAAGCTAGAACTTTGCCTTTTTGTGTGAGCCTAAAACACTCAGAGTTCTCAGCAGTAGGGGTGGTACCTCATGTTTCTTAGATCTGTTAATGAGTGGGACCAGTGTTGCTTAGGTGATCAGGCCAACATCAGATGGGTCCCAGCAGAACACTTTTTCCTAACACATCCTCTACTGGTTTCCAGGGGTCAGTAGCTGTCAACGTGGGTTCTGGTGTTAATTTCTTTAAATGTTTCATGAAGGCCTCGAAACAAATTAAATATAATCTTTAAATTTTGTTTTCTTTGCTGGTCGTGGTGGTGCATGCCTGTAATCCCAGCACTTTGGGAGGCCAAGGCAGGCGAATCACGAGTACAGGAGTTTGAGATCGGCCTGCCTAACATGATAAAAACCCCATCTCTACTAAAAATACAAAAATTAGCCAGACAGGGTGGCACATACCTGTAATCCCAGCTACTCAGGAGGCTGAGGCAGAAGAATCGCTTGAATCCGGGAGGCAGGGGTTGCAGTGAGTCCAGATCCCACCATTGAACTCCAGCCTGGGCAACACAGTGAGACAGCATCTTTAAAAAAAAGAAAGAAAGAAAAAAACCCATCACATTCACAAATAACAGAGTGTAGGGATTCAAAATAAGCTTTAGGGTAAAAAAATTCAAACCACTAAATCATACAAAGTAAATATGGTCCAAGTACAGAAAAAAAACATGGACAGATACCTAGGGAAGCTCAGACATTGGGCTTATTTGGCAAATGATTTCAATCAACCATTGTGCTGGGGCTTTTGGTTTTGTGTCAGAGTCTCACTCTGTGGTTCAGGCTAAAATGAAGTGGCACCATCTCGGCTCACTGCAAACTACAACTCCTCCAGGGCTCAAGCAATTCTAGTGCCTCAGCCTCCGGAGCAGCTGGGATTACAATAGTGCACCGCAATGCCTGGCTAATTTTTCTATTTTTAGTAGAGACTGAGTTTCACCATATTGGCCAGGCTGGTCTCAAACTCCTGACTTCAAGTGATCTGCCCTACTCCACCTCCCAAAGTGATAGATTTACGGTCGTGAGCTAACACCTTGCCTGAATCAACAGTTTTAAACATGCTCAAATATCTAAAGGCACTGTGTGTGTGTGTGTGTGTGTGTGTGTGTGTGTGTGTGTATAATTGTAGAGGACTGCAAAGGATTAAAACAGTAGCTCGCAGCCCATGGCTTCCAGGGTGAGGCTGAGGTGCCCATGGGCAGGGGTGGAGGGAAATGTTCCGGGGGAACCCAGAGCACCACCTACACCTTTCCTCTGGGGAACCATCTATGCATCTAACACATTGATACATACATGTATCAATTCTCTGAAGCTACAGAGAGTATCCATAAAGACAGAGTAATTACTAGAAGGTTCCCAGTAGAAATCCTGGGACTGAAAAAACATAATAGCTGAAGTGAAAAATCCAGTAGAGAAATTCCACAGCAGGTTTGATCAGGCAGAAGAAAGAATCCGCTCATTTGAAGACAGGAGGAAAGAACAGGCCAGCAGCCTGTGCGGTGTGCATGGGGGAGCCGCCTCCCAGCAGTCTGTGCGGTGTGCATGGGGGAGCCGCCTCCCAGCAGTCTGTGCGGTGTGCATGGGGGAGCCGCCTCCCAGCAGTCTGTGCGGTGTGCATGGGGGAGCCGCCTCCCAGCAGTCTGTGCGGTGTGCATGGGGGAGCCGCCTCCCAGCAGTCTGTGCGGTGTGCATGGGGGAGCCGCCTCCCAGCAGTCTGTGCGGTGTGCATGGGGGAGCCGCCTCCCGGCAGCAGACCTTCCCTTGCTTGTCCTCTCCCGCTAGAGAAAGCAGTAGATGATCCTATCTGTGATGAGTGTGTTGGTAACATTAAACATAAAAGGCAGGCAATTAGGGGTAAAGGCCTTAGGTGTGTGTGAATTAATGGCTAAATTAATAACAGAAACTTTCATAAAAGGAAGTATGAAGTTTTGTTTATTTTTGTCTATTTTTTTTGTTGTTGCTTTTTTTGTTTTTTGAGACGGAGTTTTGCTTGTTACCCAGGCTGGAGTGCAATGGCACGATCTCGTCTCACCGCAACCTCCGCCTCCTGGGTTCAGGCAATTCTCCTGCCTCAGCCTCCTGAGTAGCTGGGATTACAGGCATGTGCCACCATGCCCAGCTAGTTTTTTATATCTTTAGTGGAGATGGGGTTTCACCATGTTGACCAGGATGGTCTCGATCTCTTGACCTCGTGATCTACCCGCCTCAACCTCCCAAAGTGCTGGACTTACAGGCTTGAGCCACTGCTCCCGGCCTATATTGTTTTTCTTTTTGCCCATCAGCTCTTGAGTAACACAGACTGTGTTCTTCCTGTGACTCACACTTCCTTCCTTCCTGCCTTCTCTTCCTTCAGGCAGGCATCCCCAAACTTTTTACACAGGGGGCCAGTTCACTGTCCCTCAGACCGTTGGAGGGCCGCCACATACTGTGCTCCTCTCACTGACCACCAATGAAAGAGATGCCCCTTCCTGAAGTACGGCGGGGGGCCGGATAAATGGCCTCAGGGGGCTGCATGCGGCCCCTACTTTGGGGACGCCTGGTCTTGCTGATGAGGCTGAGTGGCTGTTTCCTGCCTCCCGACTCCCTGGAATTTAAAGTGACAGACTTCAAGTGAGGACAGCGATGGCACTGCAGGGCCATAGCCTGGTGTCCGGCCCGGGTTGCAGTGTCAAGAGTGAGCGGGAAAGGTGTCTGTCACTCCCACATCTAGGTGACACAAAAGCTAAACCCTTCAGGCAAGCTGTAAAAGTTGGGGTACTATATGCGTGGCCTAAGCACATGGCTTAGAAGCTGGGAGCTGGGAGTTTTTTCCTGACGGCGCAGCAGTGTGCACGGGGTGGTGACTCCTCCGGGGAGAAGCTGGGAGCTGGGAGCTTTCTCCTGATGATGCAGCAGTGTGCATGGGGTGGTGTTCGTGTGGGAGTGTGTCCCAGGTTGTCCAGCGCATTTCAGTGTGGATGTTTCCTCAGTTCTCCACGTGTAACAGTCTCTCAACAGGTTTCTGCTTTTCTCTCAGATCAAACTGATTCACGCACAGATGTTCCTTTGGTGCTTCCAGAGAGGAAAAGCGGAGAGCCTCCTGTAGCACCACCTTGCTGATGACAGAAACTTGGTTTTACACGTGACTCAGCTTCACTCGTGGACACGGAGGCAGAGCCGGGGGGGGCAAACCGACTCTGAGGAACGATTTACCTGGTAGGATGGAGCAAGTGTCACCATCTGAGGGACTATACGAAGGACTAAATGAGATGCGTGTGAAATGTACCACACACACTACCCAGTGATATATAAAGTGAGTCTGAAACACAAATTTATATTTTCTAATATCCTCATGAAAAAAGTAAAAAGAAATAGCTGACATGAATGTTCATGACATTTTATTCAATGCAATATAGCCAAAATGTTCTCATTTCAACATGCAATTAATGCACAATAAACTATTAATGAAACATGCTACGTGATTTAGTCAGTAAATTCTTGCGATAGGGCCATCAAATTGCTCGTCAAATTCAGGTTCCCTGCAGGGCACGTGCTCAGTAGTCCACGGGCCAGCGTCTGTCAGGCAGGACTACGCAGCCCCTCAGGAGGCCCTCGGGATGACCAGCTGTTACGTGCCATTTGGCCTGGGTATAAAGCAAAACCAAAACCAACCAACCAACACCAAAAACCTCCAACGATTTCACGTTGTCAGGAAGCTACCTTTAAAAGAACAAGCTTAGCAAACACCGATAAGGCTCATACTCTAGATGCATCTTCAAGGAAGGCCTCTGCAGAAGGGACAATGGATCTGGGACCGGAATGGCTCCCTCTGAGCTCTGAGGCCAAGCGTCCGACACCGAAGGCCCAGCAAAGACAAAGACCCGAAGGCAGCAGCACCTTGTGCCTTCCAGAAGTGCAGGGGACGATGCCTGGGACGCCCCATGGAAGTGGGAGAGGATGGAAGTACCAAGACCAGAAAGGCCACTGCACAGACACAACACTCTGGATGTGCCAAAATCTTCGTGCAATTCTAACTTTGTCTCAGCCAAATCAGTCCGGGAAAAAGACAACACGCAATGCCTTGAGATGGAAAAGATGGAAACTCCTAGAATGACTACATCTGTAAATTATCCTACCACGACTGGATTACTGTGGAGAAGAGTTTGCTGGAAAGAAGTTAAAATGATGACTGAGGTTTTTAAGTAAAATAATAGAATGGGCCACAAGAACAAAGCATTAATGCATCAGCCATTCTAGGTCCCGCTGTCACAGTGTTCAAGAACTGGTATTTCTGAGATGAGTCATGTGCTTAAAGAGGGGCCAAACTACTCAAATGGGGAATCTGTACCCTTAAACTCTGCTCAGGGGCTCAGCATCACAAAATACCAGAAGCGAGAGGGGCCGCCCATGCCTGAGTTAGTAACCATTTCACACCATTTCCAAACACCGTCCACTCTTCCCTCTCGATGCCAAGGCAGATGCTCAGGCAGATGAACACCTGCTCTGCCCTGAGCCCAAAGGATGCCCAAGATTCACTCATATTCAGCTGTAAGGGCACTTGACAGAAAAGCTATTCACAGTCTCAGATCTCACCCAGTTCTCACTGTCCTCATCTGCTGTGGACAAGCAGGAAGATGCAGTCTCCTGCCTGTCCCAGCAGGACCGAACATACACATGGCTTCCTGTAGATCCCACACTCTCCAAAATCCTGGGCATATGTAAACATCTACTTATAAATAAATAAATAAATATTTAAATAAATAAATACTGCTATATACCCCTAAAATTATCAAATAAGACAAACTGGCCCCTTGAGAAGCTGCCAGCCATTAAACCCTGGTCCAGTCACAGGGCGTGGGAGGAGACCTGGAATGCAGTCCCTGCCTCCCACAGAGGGAGGATTTCTCCCCCATCGTTACTTATATTTCTAGTCATTTGTGACTGCTGGTTTGCATTCAGGCAACCAAGGCAAACAACCTACTAAGTGCATTTCTTAGGTTTTTTTCATGCTTACATCGTTATAAGAATCGCAAAATAGAAAGATGTACGTCAGACAGTATGAAGCGATGCAAATGTTTCTCTACTTAGCATGGAGAAGCCCCGATAATCCTATCTTAAAGCTCAGAACTTTAAGTTGAACCCTCACAAGTCTAAATGCTTATGACTTACTATGGGGCTATGTATTGACAATCTCATCATTAAGTCAAAAATACCCTAAACTGAATATGCAGGTAATGGCCAGACCATCCAGTTCTAAAGTTAAAAACTGTAAGGCAAACCATCGTGGCTGTGCGGCATCTGTAGCTAGATGGAATTAATGCACACGCCAGCATGGATGGAGCTCACAATACAAAAAACAGAAAAAAAGACGTCTCAGGATGAAGAACTGTAAGTAATGACATCCTAAAACCACTTTTTGCCTTTTTAAATTGAGACGGAGTTTCACCGTGTTGCCCAGGCTTGTCTCAAACTCCTGAGCTCAAGTGATCCACCTGCCTCAGCCTCCCAAAGTGGTGGGATTATAGACATAAGCCACCGCTTAATATACAATATTAATACATCACTTAATATACCCCTTAATACATGCTTAAAACCACCCTTAATATACAATCGTATAACTCTATAATGCCCAGAATCTTAAAATGACTCCAAGTGCATTGACAAAGTTGTAGGACCTCAGGTAAGCTGCACCATACTGGATAGCAGAGTTTGCTGGGGCAAGGTTCAAGCACTAGACTGTTTCTTCAAGGCTGCTTCCCTTTCTAGAAGAAAAGGTAAACGAGGGAAGCGCCAGTGTCTTTCACAGGCAGGACGTAGCAGAGCCTGCGTCACCTTCTGCATAGAGAAGCTTTTTGGCGCCCACCAGTTGGTCCTGAATTGTTTCCTTTGCATGTCCTTTTTCTGGTGTTGCCGAGGCATCCAGCAAGGCATTGAATGAGAGGACAGAAGAGGAGACTGAGGGTCTTGATGCTCCAGGGACAATCAGCCCAGGATCGACATAGGACCCCACGCTTCCAGCAGTGAGTGCTCCAGAAGAGTTCTCTCAGCTATGGAACAGCAGGTAGGATTGTCTCTATTCCCCACCCTCCTGTTGCATCTCCAGGCACAAAATACTTACTCTCAGTGGGGTCAGCGTCATTCACTGGAACCTGCAGCCTCTTCCTCTGACACCCTTCGGCTTCTGCCTGTCCCTGTAACACACAGTGGGGAAGGCTGTGATCAGTCAGGAGTCCTGCAGTCCAGTACTGACCCCAACCACCAGCCCTGACACCTGCAGCACCTCCCCTCTCGGGTCTACATGGAGATGGAGATAACCCTCTAGTTCTGCATAGCTCTCAGGCTCTATGTGACAGTGGCTCATTGAGACATAAGTGACATGCAGTGAATGCTGAATGTGTAAGTGTTCTGCCCAGCTCTGACTACTGTTACACTGGTGTAATCATCCCCTGATCAAGACAGAGAACATTCCCATCACCCCAGAAAGTCCCCTTCTGCCCTATCTAATCAACCCCCACCCACCTTCACAAGAGATGATCACTTCCTTACAGAATTTTTACCAGCAGAAGTCTCAGCAGAAGACTATATATGAGGGCACCCAGGAAAATGTAACAAAATGATTTATTCCAAGACTGTAAATGATCTTGGATCATTAATACTGCACCATATCAATAGGGTAATTAAATAAAACATCAGGCTCTATGGAGGCTGGAAAGACGTTTGGTAAAATTAGACACCAATTCTGATTGTTTTCTAAACCTTTTAGAATAGGAGGCTGTATTCCTGATGAGAATTTCTATATGAAACCAAAAGTGAACACCATTCCTAAGGTTGACACTTTGGAGGCCTTCCCCAGAAATCAAATCAGGACCCGAACACCTGCCTTCCCAAGCACAGCTGAACATTGTTCCGAAAGGTCTGGTCTAGGCAACAAGATGGGAAACAAAAATGAGGCAAGACTCTTGGATGGGGGCAGACACAACAATCATTATTTTCAATGTCATTTAAAATCCCTAAGCATGAAACTACAACATTGAAATATAAATGTATGTCTGGAGGAATGCTAAAAACATAGCAGATGCAACGAGTTTCTAATAGAATTACAGGGCTATCCAAATTCATAATGGATACAAAATACTCAACAGCCGTGAGAAGAAACAGGAATAGCTTCTTCAAAGAGAAACACTAATCACAACTCAGTTACAATAAAGTACTTGACTTCAAATGCTATCTTATTCAATAAGAAAATACTGAATATTTATAGGATATGCAGTATTTCTATATTAATTTTTAAAGTGAATTGATAAAAATGCCACTGAGTGTTTTTGAGAGGGGAGGATGGAGGAAATCTTATAATTCTAAATTTTATCCAGGTAAAATAATAAATTTTGAAAAAGTATGGAAAAGGTGTTTGCTCTTTTGGATATTAAAAAACACTACAAGTTTCTGACTGGAACATGCCTAAAAATCCTAAGAGCCATCTATGACTAACCCACAGCCAACATCATACTGAATGGGCAAAAGTTGGAAGCATTCCCCTTGACAACTGGAACAAGGCAGGGATGCTGACTCTCACCACTCATATTCAACACAGTACTGGTAGTCCTAGCCAGAGCACTCAGGCGAGAGAAAGAAATAAAAGGCATCCAGATATGAAGAGGTCAAACCATCTCTCTTCAACATGAGTCTATACCTTGAAACCCCTAAAGAGTCCACCAAAAGGCTCCTGGAACTGATAAATGACTTGAGCAAAATTTCATGATACAAAATCAATGCATAAAAATCAGTAGCATATGTATATACCAATAATGTTCGGGCTGAGGACCATATAAAGAACACAATCCTATTTACAATACACAGACACATACGCATACGTACAATACCTAGGAATACCTAGGAAATAAAAGATCTCTAGAAGGACAATTACAAAACACTGCTAAAAGAAATCATAGATGGCCGAGCATGGTGGCTCAAGCCTGTAATCCCAGCACTTTGGGAGGCCGAGGCAGGTGGATCACAAGGTCAAGAGATCGAGACCATCCTGGTCAACATGGTGAAACCCCTTCTCTACTAAAAATACAAAAAAATTAGCTGGGCATGGTGGCACATGCCTGTAATCCCAGCTACTCAGGAAACTGCCTGAATCCGGGAGGCGGAGGTTGTGGTGAGCCAAGATCGCGCCATTGCACTCCAGCCTGGGTAACAAGAGTGAAACTCCGTCTCAAAAAAAAAAAAAAAGAAATCATAGGTAACATGAACAAAAGGAAAAGCATTCCATGCTCATGGATTGGAAGAGTTAATAGAGTTAAAATGGTCATACTGCCCAAATCGATCTACAGATATAATGCTATTCTTATCAAACTACCCATGTCATTTTCCACAGAATTAGATAAAGGTATTCTTATATTCATATGGAGTCAACAAAGAGCCTGAATAGCCAGAACAATCCTAAGCAAAATGAAAAAACCTAGAGGCATCGCATTACCTAATTTCAAGCTATACTCTAAGGCTACCATAGCCCAAACCACAAGATACTGGTACCAAAATAGACACATAGCTAATGGAACAGAAGAGAGAACCCAGAACTAAAGCTGCACAACTACAGCCACCTAATCTTGGATAATGTGGACAAAAATAAACAATGCAGAAAGGACTCCTGATACCGCCTGGCTGCATTCCGACCAAATCTCATCCTGAATTGTACCTCCCATAATCCCCACCTGTCATGGGAGGTACCTGGTGGGAAGTAATTGAATTATGTGGATGAGTTTATCCTGTTCTATTCTTGTTTAGTAAGACTCACAAGATCTGATGGTGTTATACAGAGTAGTTCCCCTGCACACAATCTCTTGCCTGCCACCATGTAAGATGTGCCTTTCCTCATCCTTCACCTTACACTACGATTGTGAGAACTCCCCAGCCATGTGGAACTATGAGTCCATTAAATCTCTTTTTCCTTATAAATTACTCAGTCTCAGGTATTTCTCCTTGGCACTATGAAAATGGACTAATACGACTCCCTATGCAACAGATCATGCTGGGATATTTGGCTAGCCAAATGCAGAAGAATGAAAACTAGACTCCCTCTATTCACCATATACACAAATTAACTGAAGGTTGATTAAATGTTTAAAAGTAAGCCCATGAACTATAACCACCCTAGAAGAAAACCCAGAAAACCTTTCTAGACATCAGCCATGGCAAAGAATTTGTGCTTAAGCCCTCAAAAGCAATGCACCAAAAATAAAAATTGTCAAGTAGGATTTAATTAAAGTAAAGATATTCTGCACAGCAAAAGAAACTATCAACAAAAAGAATCTATCAACAGGCAGGGCACAGTGGCTCACACCTGTAATCCCAGCACTTTTGGAGGCCAACGCAGGTGGATCACCTGAGGTAAGCAGTTTGAGACCAGCCTGACCAACATGAAAAGACTCCATCTCTATTAAAAATACAAAAATTAGCCAGGCATGGTAACTGCAATCCCAACTACTGAGGCAGGAGAATCACTTGAACCCAGGAGGTGGAGGTTGCAGTGAGCCAAGATCATGCAGTAAGCCGAGATCATGCCACTGCACTCCAGTTGGGTGACAGAGCTAGACTCTGTCTCAAAAAAAAGAAGAAGAAAAAGAAGAAGAAGAAAAAAACCACGTGGTATAACCGTAGGAAAGGAAGAAAATGGGAGGTAATGATCCTTGTCCACCCATTTGATGAGCGATCAAAGAGGAGCCAAAAGCAGAGAAAACTAGGGGAATCAGTTCTTAAACAGGCTTGGAAGGAGACAGTGACTCAGAACAATTCAGGGAGTTTCTCACTTCACACAGGATCACAAAAGAAATGGCACCTAGGTTCCATTGGTGTATGGTACAAACCAAATCGTTTTTTTAAAAGTCCGTAGGAAATTAGATAGGATCATCTTGTTTTATCTTGAAGGAAAGAAATTTTGACACTTAAAAAATAATAATATGTGTCCAGATTTCATACCTACTCAATATCGTATGAAAACTGATGAACTGCTGTGAACATCCGGATGTGTGTGTTTGTGTGATACAAAAGCACTTCTATGCACTGACTCAGAAATCCTACTTCTTCCCAGAAGCCTCCTTACACACTTGATCGGAAATCTGGACAAAGATTTACTGTGAAATATGCTCAATGTAACAATTATTTTGGAGTAAATTTAAAGCTTCTGCTGTTTCAAGCAGGGGCTCCCTGAGTTCTGTTAGGAGCACACAGTGGAGACCGTGCTGCCCTCATTCAGTCATCAACGAACCCTGTGACCCCCACTCTGTGTCTGTGGAGCTCCAGATTCTGGGGACACAGCAAGGACAGGGCAGGGAGTAAGAAGCAGATGTCCTGCAGAGTGGCACAGTCACCACCTCAGGGCAGCTGCTCCATCCCCTGCAGTCTCCTGTCTCCCAAAAGCTGCATGTCCCCCTAGGCCAGGAGAGCAGAGGCACTACCCTCTCCCCCTGTCTATGAAGCCCTGTGCAGGCAGCAGGCCAGGCATGGCACAGTCCATCCTCAACTCACCAGCAGATGCTGTGGCTCCTCTGGCAACTGTACAGTCACATCTGCTGACTCTCTCAGCTCCTGACCTTCGATTTCCTGCTCAGGGACCTGGGTGTGCTGCGATTCTCTGTTGCTCGGGTCCTCGTTGCAGACATTGTCCTCAGCCTCAGGACCTCGTGAGGGACATGAACGCCGGAAAAAGACCTTTGGAAGACAAACCGCCCACTCAAGTCCACACCCAGGGCTCAGCTTCAGGGTCCCTAGCACACAGCTGGACGTGTCAGCCCCAATCCCTTCCAATGAGGTCCAGGGCAGGTGGGTCACCACATCCCCAGGGTGCAGGTTGTATGTGATGGTGGCACTCAGGCTGCAGGAAGGACAGGGCTGCAGCATAGCCAGCCAGTCTGTATGGCGCTCAAAATGACCATGTGTTCCCCACAGTTAGCCTGGAGCCCCCAGGCCATGTCAGAGACTCAGGGCCACTGTGAGGACAAGAGATCGTGCCCACCCAGACTCCACAGTAGACGGGAAGCACTTTGTGAACCCATGATGCCCCCAGTTTTGGAGAAACCAACTCACTCTGTCCACACGATCGGGGTCCCCTCCAGGACCTGGAAGAGAAGGAGTCTCCTTAGCAGGTGGGGAGGGGCCCATTCAGCACCTCCCTCCGGGAGGGCAGTGTGGGGCAGGGGCAGGCTGGGGGCTGGAACACTGGACAACAAGCCCTGGGCCTAGGGACAGGAATGGGACCTTGCAATTCAGGGACACCTGAGAAGGGGGATGAGAAGGACAACTAGAGTAAAAACAAACATGTGGAAAATCTCAGTTTTCTGCTCTGTGTTCTGCTCTGACCAAGGCTGAATAACTCCCATGACCACTTCTCATCCTGACCCTTGTCACCCAGTTGAGGAGCTGACTGCCCCCTGCCAGGCGGGGCCTGAAGATGGCAGGAACTGACCCTGCCCTCCTGATCTTGGCTTTGAGATGAGGGACCCCTCACCCCCGGAAAGGGACTGGATGGTGCACAGGATGTGGAGATGGGATAATCACAAGGAGGAAGAAAGAGCCAGGCCAGAAACACTTAGACTAGGGGCAGGGACAGGCATTTGTGTCTGTGGGAACAGGGTGGGAGAGGGCAGGCCAATGCCCCACCCTCAGCCAGCACCTACCTGAGCAGATGCCTTTCAAGCAAGAAAGGACTTTCTTCCACAGTGAAGTCTTCCAAACAAACCCAGCCACAGAGTGAACACTAGAAGTAAGACCACTATGATGACTGTTGTGGGAAGGGGAGAGGCAGGAGTCCCCGGACTGGAGGTCACAGTCTCCTCTGTGGCTGCGGGTTTCCCAGTAGAATGGGCAGCTGATTCACTGTCGCACTTGATGTCACTCCAGGCAGTACAATCATGACCTTGACCTCTGGGGCACCTGGGTACACACAGGGAGGTAGAGGCAGGACTCCTGAAGGGAAGCTGGCCAGGTGGGATGAAAGAGGAGCCTGGTCAATGTCCCTGAGAAGGCATCAGGGGAAGGACGGGCTCCTCACATCTGCAGGGCCCGCTCTATGCTCCCTGGTTGACGCTGGGGAAGAGTCTGAGCATGCGTACTTCAGCCCCTCGGCCTCCTTGCTCTGGGGTCAGAGCTGCAGCTCCAGGAGCCTTCTGTGCTGGGCACACACTGAGCTTCCCTGGGCTGCAGGGGAGGCCTGCGTTAGGAGGAGCCACACTCCAGGGGAAGATCGCATGCCCATGTGCCCACCAGCTGAACCCCATCCTCCAGTTAACCCACAATACAAGTGAGCCCTCACCCCTCCCTGTCTGCTGGTTCCTCCCAGTCACAGCAAACACTGGAGGGCCAGAGAAGAGAAAATTACTCTTTGCCCCTAAAACCTAAGTAGGAGAAAGAAGGACTTATTGAGAAATCAGGGACCGGGGTGAGGATGGCTGGTGGGTTCAGCTCCTCACTGTAACTTAAGAGAGCTCCACCCATGACTTGTGGGCTGGGGAAACCTTTGTCTTTATGGGTCCCTGTCTGCATAAAAAATATTTAAAATTACATTTTTTAAAACCAACTTGGAAAAAGGACAAATACAAACGAGGCTGGATCCAAGTGTTTTCTTCTGATTTCAAAAGGAAATCACATTTCCTAGGTCCCCTGAAAAGTATCAAGGGACCTAGAAAGTCACCTCCTGAGCCCGATGAACAATCTGGCCTGGCCAAAGGGACTCGTGCTGGGGAGGAGTGGGAAAGGGCTACTGTAGGGGGCAGCGGTGGGGACAGGCACAGGGACCAGGAGGGGCCACCACAGGCTCAGGAGACCCCACAGGCTCAGGGATGCCTCATGGGGCTAGAGGCTCCATGGGGTCAGGGGAGAGAAAGAGGTACCAGGTGACTTGGGTCTTCTCGGGTTCCTGAAAGCTATCGGGGCCCCTTGGCTGCTGTCTCACCCTGTGGGGCACTTCCGGCACATCTCAGTGGAATTGTCATTCCGGAAAGTTCCTGGCTTGCACCGACACTCTGTGTCTCTGGTCGTGGTGCAGGGACTTAGCTCTTCTTCATCTGATGACAGAGCACAAGGTTTTGGCAATGAGTTCCCTGGCCTGTCCCTTGACCCTTCCTCACCACCCCGAACCCCTCCCACTCTACTCAACTCAGTTCACCAAGGAGTTCTGAGGGCCGGTTCTGCACCAGCACACTCGGGGCTTATATAGGACAACCCACCCTTCGGCTGTCACCAAGCCTCAGGGTCATACAAAGGGACCATGATTCATTAATTATTACATCAGATTAGGGGAATAGCATCATTCAGATCACATGTTCAGTAGCAAGGGAGGCCTAGGGGCATCACCTGAGGGACTCTGCAAGGAGCAGAGCACTCAGGTGACTTTCCCAAAGCCCCAGCTTTGCTAGGGAGGAGGAAGGGGCCTGAGAACCTAAAGGCTGAGTGAGGCCCAGCACCTTCCAGGAGCCCAGAGCCCAGAAAAGAGAGCCTGGCCCCGGAGCAGACCCGTGCCACAGCTGACACCCAGTCCTGTCCACTCAGCCAGGACTTCTCTGTACTGTAATCATGCCCCTGCCCCCTTGCAGCTGATAGTTTAGAAGATTTCTCAGCCAGGTGGCATGTCTTATAAAAAATATTTCTTTTCTTTTTTTGTTTTTAATCAACCAAAGTCACAATCATGGAACAGGGTATGATGAACACCAAGCTGGGCTGGAACTTGGTTCTCTGACTCACATCGGCTACAACTCTCACCTCATCACTCCGCACGCCACCTCTGGGCAAGGGGTCCACACATTCTGTACCTGATTTACAAACTGTACATAGGAGGCAGACAGGCAAATTGTTGGAGCCATTGGTATAATCCACACCCTCTGTGCACCCGATACAGGCTCCAGTATATTCTGATCTACGAGATCCTGGGAAGGGAGAGAAAAAGCCAATGACTATCCACACTATTTATCAATATGTAATCAGTATAAATCTCAGAAATATTTTACTTCTTTTTTGTTTTTGGAGACAGAGTTTCACTCTTGGTGCTCAGGCTGGAGGGCAGTCGCACAATCTCAGCTCACTGCAACCTCCGCCTCTCAGGTTCGAGGGATTCTCCTGCCACAGCCTCACAGGTAGCTGGGATTACAGGCACCCACCGCCACGCCGGCTTTTTGTATTTTTAGGAGAGACGGTGCTTCACCATACTGGCCAGGCTGGTCTTGGACTCCTGACCTCAGTTGATCCACCCACCTCAGTTTCCCAAAGTGCTGACAATACAAGCTTGAGCCACCATGCCACAACATACCATGCCCAGTCTACTGTTTTGTTTTTAACAATAAAATAAAATAACAAACTAAAATCCAACCTCTTCTACATGTGATCTGCCCAAGCTGCCCACCTGACCTGTCTGCGGTCCACTCACTACAGTGGCCCTGTCTTTGCTCAGTATCCCCCAGCCCCTGCACCCTGGGCCTTTCAGTCCTGGGCAGGCTGCTCAGGAGCACTGTTTCTGGCTCTCTGCAACACTAGCCCTGTCCAGCTTTGGATATTGACCAACGTCACCATCCCTGAGAGGCCCCACCAACCTTGTCTCTGTCTCATCCATCACTTGATTATTCTTCATGGTTCGTATCCATAATTTCGAATTGTTATGTTGATCTCTTTGTAATAATATTATCCCAGAAAAAAGGTTCCATGAAGACAGGGCCTCTTATAACCACCAATATCATGGTACCTGACTCACAGAAATCATCCAATCTATCCCTATGGAATAAAGAAAAAGAGTGCAGCAAACAGAAGTCTGGAGGCACACAGAGATAAGGGCATGATAACGGTGAGACAGCAGTCCTAGATTGTGCCTTCCAGCTAGCACTACAGACCCAGGATCCTGGCCCACCTCCACAGACTCAGCCTCCAGGTCTGCCCTAGTGCCACATCAGTCCCCATTAACTCACACTCCAGGCCCTTCCCTGTGGACCTAGGGAAGAAACCCATCACAGCACCTGGCTGACATCTGCAAATTGAAGTTCAAGGCCCACTCCAGTGCCAGTTCAGTACCCATGGACATAGGCCTCAAGTCACCTCTCTGGAAACAGCCTCTCACCACCCTTGAATCACACCACATGGCCTGCCCAGAATCTGTGAACCGGCTGAACAGTGAAGGGCGTTCCCTAACAGAGCCAGTCTATAAAGACTGGAATAAGTCCCTGCTGCTTCAAAGCACACATTCCAACACATTGCCACAGGCTGCTGAGCCATCAGGGAACCATGACAGCACCAAAGAAACAAAATAAAGCACAGGTAACTACCCTAAACTAATAGAGGTTTACAAAAGCCTGACAAAGAATCGAAAATACGCATCTTAAAGAAGCTCAGTCAGCTACTAGAGAATACAGATAGACAACTACGTGAAGTCGGAAAAACAATATATGAGCAAAATGAGAAGTTTCATATACACACAGACACCATACTAAAGAACCAAGCAGAAATTCTAAAAATCAACAACAGAATACCTGAACTAAAAAAACTCCACAGAGAATGTCAACAGCAGAGTTGACTAAGCAGAAGAAAGAATCAGTGAGCTTCAAAACAAAGCATTGGAAAATACCAAGTCACAGGAAGAAAAAGAAAATAAAGAATGAAGCTGTGGTCCCGTGTGAGTCCTGGTAGGAGGTGTCGCCGGGAAGGTGGCCTGAGCTCATGGAGGCAGCATCTCAGAGACGATGGTGGAGGGAGATAATCACAGCACCAACCTGCTGGCTGCAGAGACTGCAAGTCTGGAAGAACAGCTGCAAGGATGGGGAGAAGTGGTGCTGATGGCTGACAAAGTCCTTCGATGGGAAACAGCCTGGTTTCCACCTGCCATCATGGGTGTGGTTTCTTCGGTGTTTCTGATGATCTACTATCTAGACCCATCTGTTCTGTCGGGCGTTTCCTGTTTTGTTATGTTTTTGTGCTTGGCTGACTACCTCGTTCCCATTCTAGCGCTTAGAATTTTTGGCTCCAATAAATGGACCACTGAACAACAGCAAAGATTCCATGAAATTTGCAGCAATCTAGTAAAAAACTCGATGCAGAGCTGTGGGTTGGTGGAAACGCCTCGTCACACTAAAGGAAGAAAAACCTAAGATGTACTTCATGACCAGGATCGTTTCCCTTGCTGCGGTTGCTTGGGTGGGACAGCAAGTCCACAACCTGCTTCTTACCTACCTCATAGTGACTTCCCTACTGTTGCTTCCTGGACTAAACCAACATGGAATCATTTTGAAGTACATTGGAAAGGCCAAAATGGAGATAAACAAACTTCTCAAACAAAAAGAAAAGAAAAACGAATAATTCATCTGCTTTATTCAGCGTGATTAATGGAGCACCCGTTGCCCCTGGGAACCATTTCTGCTGTACTATGTGGACACTAAAATGTTTCAGAAGTAGCTCTTTGCTCTCCCTCACTCTGCCCTTAGTTAATAGAAACTGAGGCTCGGCAAGTAAGGCTTTCTGCATAGTGTCTTCATGTTGCATAGTTGAGTGAGCTCTTAGCAGTTGGCCTCATGGGTGACTCAGTGTGTCTGACCTGTTTTGATTTTTTGTAGCCAGGGTTAATTGAATTCTTGCTTTTTGACAACTTCCTTTTTATAGTGGTAAACCTTGCCCTTTAGGACCGTTCAAGTGACTCTGGATAGTTGTTCAAGTTCATCTTTGCTTTAGCTAGATTCAGTGTTGTGGTCTGTGGCTACAGGAAGCTGGTTCTACTGTCTGCTTCCACAGTCTGCTTAAAAAACTGTCTGACTTCATGAATACAGAGACCAAGTTTACCACTTCTGATGAAGAGACCAAGTAAGATTCATTCCTCATTCTGTTTCTTTCCTGTGGGAGAAGAGTCCCCATGGAATAAAATGAAACTGATTCCATGCACTAGTATGTGTAGGTTTCTCCCTTGTGCAAAGCTTAGCTATTTGTAGGAAACTGATCTTTTTGTCCATGAAAAAGCAATGTCTGACAGGCTTAAGCTTTTGTCCCCTTGCACTTAGCCTTGAAGTTAGTAAATCCTTAAAGGCTTTTTAATGTCAGAGTTCCAAAAGATTGCATTTAGGATCTCTAGCATAAATTTTCAGCTGACTTTAGCTATATAGTATACAGTAGGTTAAGACTCACGTCTATGACTTGTACTTTAAGACCAGCAGCAAAGGACGGCAGTCTTCTATGTTTAGTCAAGATTCATTTTAGTAGAAGATAATCTGACTGATTTTTTGATACCAGAATAAGCCTTTTAAGGTAAACCTCAAAATTCTCATTTTATGGTAATACTGGCCATTTTAGTCCCCTAGGTTTGACATGGGAGATAGTGACTACACTGGTGTCTTTTTTCCTAGAGATTTCTCCCTGAAAAATACAAGGGCTGTTGGTGAGAGCAGACTTGAGGTGATGATAGTTGGCCTCTGGTCTACAAAGATTTTGTAACTCCTTGGAAAGCTTCTTATAATCATTCTTAACTTCTCGGTAGCTAGAAATCCGGAGTAGCTGAAATCTGTAGGAATCAACTTCTGAGGGCCAAAAATGTGACTGACTTGGGAACAATTCTTAAACTGATGAACTAGCTGTAATATAGTTTTGAGAATTTACTGCACTGATGATGTGTACCTTGTGGTATATCTGTCCCTTTTAAGTAAGTGTTGTTTTCTCCTCTTTAATATTGCTGTAAACAGTGGTGCCCTTTGCAGCATATGTTTGATTGTTTTAAATATTTCATTTAAAAAAAACACCTTAATTTTACCTTACTTTAATTGTAAATAAGCCTGTCTTCCTATCTGGATTTTTTTGTGTATACATGTTCTACTGATTAACTACTTTTGCAGTTTTAATCCTGTATTATTTCTTCTACTTAGTTTTTTGTAAAAGGGGAAAAAAATAAAAACAGCCAGAATCTTAAAAACAAAAAAGAAAGAAAGAAAAGAAAGAATAAAAAAGAGGGAAGAAAGCCAACAGTACCGATGGTTACCATGGAGCAAAACAACATATGCATTATGGTGGGCCAAGAAGCATCAGAGAAAGTCAAAGGAACAGAACATGTAATTCTGGGAGAAATAATAAAAGATAATATCCAAATCTGGAAAGAAATGGACATCCAAAGTCATGAAGCCCAAAGAACCACAAACAGATTAAATATGAAGGGATCTTTACCAAGACAAATCATAAACAAATTCACAAAAATCCAAGGCAAAGAGAATTTTGAAAGCAGCAAGAGAAAAAGAATGTACAAAGGAACCCTATAAAACTACTGAAGGTTTCTCAGTGGAAAACCTGCAGGCCAGGAGAGAGTGGAACCATACAAAGTATAGAAAGGAAATAAACCCTTGCCAACCAAGAATGGCAAGTCTGTACTTTAGAAATGAAAGAGCTGGCTTGGTGCAGCAGCTCACGCCTGTATTCATAGTACTTTGGGAGGCCAAGGTAGGAAGATCACGAGGTCAGGAGTTCAAGACCAGCCTGACCAACATGGTGACTCCCCATCTCTACTAAAAATACAAAAATTACCTGTGCATGATGTTGCATGCCTGTAATCCTAGCTACTCAGGAGGCTGAGGCAGGAGAATCGCTTGAATCTGGGAGGTGAAGGCTGCAGTGAGCTGAGATCGTACCACTGCACTCCAGCCTGGGTGACAGAGACTTTGTCTCAAAAAAAAAAAAAAAAAAAAAAGAAAGAAAGAAAGAAAGAAAGAAAGAAAAGAAAAAAGAAATGAAAGAGGAGTACAGACTTTATTAGACAAAGAAAACTTGTGGGATCTCATTAGCATTTCTTGCCTTACAATCTGAAAGAACAGAACACTAACTAGATACATGAAACCATATGAAAATATAAAAGTGTGGTTAAAGTAAGTGCATGGTCAAGTTCAAAATATTCTAATACAATCAAAATTGTGTATAAATTACTTATATCATTAGTACAAAGGTTAAAAGACAAAAATATTTTTAAATGATAGTAAAAACAATTTGTTATCAAATATGAAACACAAAAAGATGTAAATAATGACGTCAAAAACATAAATAAGGCAGGGATGGAAAAGTGTCGAGTTTTTTAATGTTATCAAACGTTAAGTTGTTATCTGTGCAAAATAAACTTAAACATGAAATCAACATACAAATTCGGTAGTGTTTTTATACACTAACAAGTAACTATCTGAAAAACCCCATTTGTAATAATAGCCACAAAAAAATGCTTAGAAATAAATTCAAGCAAGGTGGTAGCTGGGTTTCTTTCTGATTTGGTCTTGAGGTTTCTCTGTGAACAGTGACTGTAAACTCTAGCTTTGCCCCGATGGGGACCCAGGGGATTTTATCAAGGATGTTCACAAGAAACTTCTTTACCCCGCTGGACTGTCTAATGCCTAATTAGGTATTCAATCTTATAGGTGTCCCTTCCACAAGAAAATTACTTCTTCTGGTAGATGACTCTGTGGTTCTTTTCTGAACTATGTTGTTTAAAGTTATACCTACTCTTTAGGAGATAGTCACTCTTTAAGAGAGGCAAGATTGGGAAAGACGTTAGGTTCAGGTGTGTTAGTTAGGGAAAACAGAGAGAAAACAACACAACAAAACACAGGAAACACAGCAGTTGTGTATTACTTACAGATTCCAGAGAGAAGAGGACAGCACACTTTGCAGCACTTACAGGAAGTGGGGAGCCATTCAGTCTAACCACACTAACTGATGTGTGGGAAGCAAAGAGAGAGAGAGAGGATCCGTGGGACTACGCCTTTATAAAGGTCATGGGCATGATACCACAGCCTTTCCCACAGAGATTGTGGAAGACAACACCTGCAAAGAAGGTTCACACTGCTCTGTTGTGAACCATTAGGTTTTACTATAGTCAGCTGCTGTGGGATGTGTTGGGTTTTGGGTAATGGAGATGAAGAACAAATATGCTTTACCAAAAACAATTGAACATGGAAAGGAATTATTAACTGGACAAAAGAGGATGTGGTATGACTGAGTTTTAAACAACTTACTTCAGGCCTAAAAATGGATGTCAGTGCAACAACTCTTCTAAATAAATTTATGACAGAGCCAAAAGATCTCAAAATTGTGAAACGTTGATGAAAGAAATGCAAAGTGACACAAATAAATGGAAAGACAGTACATGTTCATGGATTAGAAAACTCAATATTGTTTAATCATCCATACTATGATCAAACAATATTGATCTATAGATTTAATGCAATGCCTATTAAAATTTCAATGACATTTTTCACCAAAATAGAGAAAACAATTCTAAAATTTGTATGGAACCATAAAAGACCTTAAATAGCCAAAGTGCTCTTAAGCAAAACAAACAAAAGAACAAAGATAGAGGCATCATACTACCTGATTTTAAAATATATTACAAAGGTACAGTAATCGAAACTGAATGGTCATAGTTTAAACAAAGAAATAAACTGATGGAAATAAGTAATAAACACAGATTTAAATCAATGCATTTACCGTAGACTGATTGTGACAAAGATACCAAGAACACAAACGAAAAAAATACAGTCTCTTCAATATATGATATAGAGAAGAGTAGATACATGCAGTATCCACTCTTTTTTACACATCACATATAAAAGTTTTACACATCGCATGTAAAAATCAACTCAAAATAAACTAAAGATTAAACATAGTCCTGAAATTGTAAAACTACTAGAAGAAAACATAGGGAAAAATCTTCATGACGTTGGTCTGGGCAATCATTTCTTGGCTATGACCCCAAAAGCACAGGCAACAAAAGCAAAAATAGGTGAGATTACAACAGACTAAAAAGGTTCTGCACAACAAAGGAAACAATGAAGAGAGTGAAGAAACAACTACAGGATGAGAGATCAATAGCCAACAGATCCAAGATTTTGATTAATATCCAAAACACACAGAAACTCAAACATCTCAACAGCAGGCAATCAAATAATCCAATTAAAATGGATGGACACACAGGCAAGGGGCCTGAAGAGACATTTCTCAAAAGAAGACATCGAAATGGCCAACGGATACATTAAAAAGTGCTCAACGTCACTAATCAGGGAAATGCAAATCAAAACCAGAAATATCACTTCACACCTGTAAGAATGGCTACTATCAAAAAGACAAAAGATAACAAGTGTTGATGACGATGATGTGGAGGAAAAGGGACGCTGGTACACTGTCGGTGGGAATGGAAATTAGTACAGCCGTCAGGGAAAACAGGATGGAGGCTCCTCAAGAAACAAACAAGAACAACCATATGATCTAGCAATCCCACTACTGGGTGTGCATCCAGTGGAAATGACATCAGTATGTTGAAGAGATAGCTTCCCTCTCATGTGCACTGGAGCATTATTTACAACGGTCAAGACAGGGAATCAATCTAAGAGTCCATCAATGGATGAAAAGGTAAAGAAAACGTGGTAACACAGACATAATGGAATAGTATTCTGCCTTAACAAAGAAGGAAATTCTGTCATTTGTGACAGCATGGATAAACATGGAGGATACTGAACTAAATGAGATAAGCCAGGCACAAAAGACAAACACCTCACCATCTCACACATGTGGGATCTGAAAAAGTTGATCTCAAAGAGGTAGAGAGTAGAATGGTGATTACCAGGGCTGGAGCTGGACGGTGAGTTGGGGAGATGTTGGTCAAAGGATACAAAATTTCAGTTAGACGGGGGGAAAATTCAAGAGATGTCTTGCAGGGCATGGTAACTACAGTCAATAAAGTAATGTTCTGTACAGTCCTTCCTTCTACTCACAGGGAATATATTCTGTGGAACAAACTCTTCACATACCCAAGTCCCTGATATAAATTGGAGTGGTATTGTATATAAGCCAGGCACATATGCTTTAAATCATCTCTAGATTACTTGTAATACTAATACAAAAGACATGCTATGTAAATAAGTGATATACTGCATTGCTTTTTATCTACTTTTATGGATGGATTATCATTTTTATTGTTTTTTTCTACGTATTTTGATATGTGGCTTTTTGCAACCATGGATGCAGAAACCACAGATGAGAGCCACAAAACCCAAAGATGAAAGGGCAAAGAGGGCTTATCCCAGGGCTCTGTATCCATACAGCTGAAAATTACTAAGAACAGATTTTAAGTGTTCTTACTATAAATACATAAGTATGTGAATTAGCTTGATTTAGGCATTCCACAATACATACATATTTCAAAACATCATAGTGTGCACTGTACTTAAATGTTAATTAAAAACAAAACCACTTTTTAAAATAAGAGTGCACCTGCTGGTCACTCCTCCTCCTAAAGGCTGCGCCTCTATTGCTGTGGGGCCACTGTCAGCTGGGGAACTTCATCCTGCTGGTGGCTGAGACAGTCAACTTGGCCCTGCAGGGACAAAGCATAGATGGGCATGAATGGCTTTCAGACCTCACTTCTTCCAGGCTCCGTCTCACATTCCCTTCACCCCAAGTAACAAAAGCCATCAGAGCTTGGACTTTTTTCCAGCTCCAAACTTTCATTCTTTTGCATCCCTGTTTGTCCCTTGGCCTGTTAGGGTGGCTATTTTCTATAAAGAAAAACACCTCTGTATCCTTTCCTCATATTATAATATAAAATACCTTCACCCCAGAAAATGTGAGCCAGAAGAGGTTTTTTTTTGTTTTTTGTTTTTTGATAGAGTCTTGCTATGTTGCCCAGGCTGGAATGTAGCGCCTATTCACAGGTGGATAGCAATTATTCACAGATCATAGTCCACTACAGCCTGGAACTTCTAGCCTCAAGTGATCTCCCGCCTCAGTCTCCCGAGTAACGTGGATAACAGGCACATGCCACTGTGGTTGGCAAGAAAATACTTTATATGATTTTTTAAAAAATCCACATGAGAACTTCAAGCAGAAATAGCGTCTAATATATTTAGTTTGACCAAGTGTTTAATTGACCAATAGGTGAATTCTGTCTCTCACACACACAAACACAGAGACACACACATAAACATACAAATTTTTACAAATGAAGGTTAAAATATCTATAACCTTAATGAAAGTCAGGATGTAGCATCAAACATTAAGTCATTAATCTCTGTTTTACGAAGGACTTTGACAAGCTGTTCCCACTAAATATCAAAGTGTCACAGAAAAAGATCAAACAGCAATTCAGGGATTCTTGCCTTGATCTCCGTTATAAATGGCAACTAGAAGACAACTGGAGAAATCGGAAAAGAGTCTGAGTATTACATAGTGATGATCTGTTGACATTAATTTCCTTGTACATACTAAACAATTCAATAATAGCCTTCATCATGTCAACAGCTATTATTCAAATGGGGTTTTTTGTATATTTTTTGTAACTTTTCTTTAACTTGGGAGCTTTTTAAAGTACAAAATTAATTTAATTGTAAACAAATTTAGTTACATTTAATCTAACTTTGTTTCTGAGCAAAAACAAAATGGTTACAATAAAAGCTACTTATGTTGGGCTCAGTTCAACTGCCTGGATCTAAACAAGACAAAATGTAGCGTTGGTCCACATCAAGGTCCATCAAGTCTTTGCTGACAGTGAAGCTAAGGCACGTTTTCCAAATCCTTCCTTCCCGGGCTGGGATCCCTCTAGGTTCAGGCAATGTCTGTGTCTCCTTTCTCTGCTCCCACACTCTTACTCCATCTCGTCCAAGGAAGGGTTTATTAGGTTTTTTTTTCTTCTCCTTTCAGAAGACCAACTTTTCATTTTGTCAATTCCTTTTTTTTTTTAAATTATTTTTTTTATTTTAGTGTCTTTCTTTGAGATGGGGTCTCCCTCTGTCATCTGGTTGAAGCGTAGTGGTGTAATCTCTGCTCACTACAACCCCTTCCTCCTCTGCCTCCCAGGTTCAAGTGGTCCTCTCACCTCAGTCCCCAAGTGGCGGGGAGCACAGACAGGCATGTGCCCAAACACCCAGGTAATATTTGTGTATTTTGTATAGCTGGGGTTTTGCCATGTTGCCCAGACTGGTCTACCTCCTAAGCTTAAGTGTTCGGCCTTCCTGAGTCTCCCAAAGTACCAGGATTACAGGTATAAGCCACCGCACACAATCCATTTCGTCAGTTCTTTTTGTGATTTTTATTCTGTTTCCTCGATTTATGTTCCTCGTTGTTACTTTGGTTTAAATTTACACTTATATTTTATAACTCATTAATGTATAGCTTCTGGCCATAGATTTCATATTTTTTCTTTGACAGTTTTAATGAGACACAATTCACATAATAATGATTATTCATACAACTCACCCACTTAAAGCCTACGTTTCCATAGTTTTTAATATTCTCATAGCTATGCAATCATCACTATAATCAATCTCAGAATATTTTCATCACTCCAAAAAGGAACTCCATATCCTTCAGCAGTAACTCCCCATCTCCCCAACCCCCAATTCTTCATAGAAACACTGAAAGGTGGATATTTCACCCCAGCACTGTTAGCTACTTCCACCAGTTTTTGTGTTTTACTGTCATTATGATTGTTACTATTATTATTATTTTGAGACAGAGTCTCGCTCCGTAGCCCAGGCTGGAGTGCAGTGGCGCGATCTCAGCTCACGGCAACCTCTGCCTCCCTGGTTCTAGTTCAAGCAATTCTCCTGCCTCAGCCTCCCGAGTAGCTGGGATTACAGGCATGCAGCACCATGGCCAGCTAATTTTTGTATTTATAGTAGAAACGGGTTTTCACCATGTTGGCCAGGCTGGTCTTGAACTCCTGACCTCGTGATCTGCCTACCTTGGCTTCCCAAAGTGCTGGGATTACAGGCATGAGTCACTGTGCTCAGCCTTTTCTTTTTTTTTTAATTGAGGAAGTCTCGCTCTGTTGCCAGGCTGGAGTGCAGTGGTGTGATGTAGGCACACTGCAACCTTTGCCTCCCAGGTTCAAGCAATTCTCTGCTTCAGCTTCCCGAGTAGCTGGGATTACAGGTGCCTGCCACCACACCTGTCTAATTTGTGTGTGTGTGTGTGTGTGTGTGTGTGTGTGTGTGTGTGTGTATTTTTACTAGAGACAGGGTTTTACCATCTAGGCCAGGCTGATCTTGAATTCCTGACCTCACGATCCATCTGCCTCAGCCTTCTAAAGTGCTGGGATTACAGGAGTGAGCCACTGCACCTGGCCAATCATTATTTATTTATTTTGAAATAAATCATTATGTATTTTGAAATATTTTACCTTCCCTTTTGGTTTCTTCTCTGAACCACAGATTTTTTAGAAGTGTGTTCAGCCAGGTACAGCAGCCCATGCCTGTAATCCCAACACTTTGGGAGGCCGAGGCGGGCGGATCAGGAGGTCAGGAATTTGAGACCAGCCTGGCCAACTTTGAGACACCCCATCTCTGCTAAAAATACAAGAAAAATTAGCTGGATGTGGTGGTGGGCACCTGGAATCCCAGCTACTTGGGAGGCTGAGGCAGGAGAATCCTGTGAACCTGAAACGCAGAGGTTGCAGTGAGCCGAGATTTCATCACTGCACTCCAGCCTGGGTGACAGAACAAGACTCCGTCTCAAAAATATATGTGTGTGTGTGTGTGTGTGTGTGTGTGTGTGTGTGTGTGCTTGTCTACCATGCATCTGTCTTATGTCAATTTAATTCTCAGGTTCAGAAAAAAAACAAAAAACAAAAAAACAACCTTTAAAGAGAAGCTTAGCTATGACTCTCAATGGAGACTGTACCCAAACAACATCCTCAGGTGAACAATACAACAATACCACATCCTGTGGCCTCGCACCAGTGCAGCCTCCCTCCAGCATGGCCTCTGTGGAGGAGGGGAGGCAAGGGTGGTAAGACCTCAGGCCTCCATCATGCTACTTCCTATTGGTGATATGATCCCTGGTGTCACTTCTCCCACCACACGGTGGGCTCCAGGGAGCAGGATTCACATGGGGCTCGTTTGTCCTCCCTGGCTCCAGAAGACTCTAGGCACAGGTGTTCTCAGAGTCAAGGGCTCACTCTCTACTTCCTGTGTGAATCACTTTCCCCTTAAGCCCATAAGGTGAGGACAGTTGTGGTCTTGGTCACCGCCTAAGGACAGGCTCCAGGCTGCAGCACAGGGAGGGAACCACAAAGGGCCCTGTGGACTCTGCTGAGGAACCATAGGAGCTCCCAGAGGGCCAAGTGCAGGGCAGAGATCTGCACTGAGAAGCAGCTGCTCAGAGAACTCTAGCCCTGCAGAGGCACAAATATGGCTGCTATTATACAGGAGGTGAGGCCAAAAATGCTAGAGACATTGCTCCTGAATCTCATTTTTGCCACTTTTAAAACAGGGAAGACAACCTGCCTTCCTGTCCCCGGGTTGTTGGGAAAATCCACCACATGAAGATGTGCAGTCTCTGGCTGGGAGCAGGACACCAGCTGCCCAACAGCAGAGGCTCGGGGCAGGGCACTGTCCCCACTGTCCCCATCTCCAACCTGGAAGCTAGAGCCTCGCTGCCCTGCCACTCCTGGATACAGGACAGAGGACCAGAACTGGGGCTGTGGCCCCTCCATAGAGGCTGCATGAGCAGCCATCTGCAGCCGTGTAGATGGAGACGCTTCCTGCTCACTCCTCAAACTGCAGTCAGGGTTGGGCGCCTACCAGTAGGAGAACTGGAAGCGTGGCAGGTGAACCAGGCTCTGACCCTGCAGTGCCATCGCTATCCTCACTTGAAATCTGGCTCCTCTGTTCCTCCATGGCCCCTCCCCATGGTGCTCCACCCCAGTCTTTAGAAGCTTCTGCCCCAAGCTCAGGGACCCTATACTGAGATGCAGGTAGGAGCAGGTGAAGCCTCTGCTAAGTGGAGGACACGTGCCCTGAGGATCCAGTCCAGAGTGACTGACACCAGCCCTGAGGATACAATTTGTCCTCCGACACCTGCAAACACAGCCCTCTGAGGTTTACACAGGGCTGCTGAAGATTTTTATCTCCTCTTCATTTTACAGGCAGGAGCCGGGCCACACCAGAATCACAGAGCTGGAGGTAAGTATGGCAGGGCCCAGCTGTTTCCAGCCTCCAATTCCAGGAGTCCTTGACAGCCTAAGAGTCCAGGATTCCAGATTCCTACTTAGAGAGAGAGGAATGACCCCTCTCTCTCTAAGAGATGTAGAAGGACCTGACCCAGAGACTGACAGAGCCAGAACCGGGTCAGGAACTGAGCTCAGCTCCAGGCTCATCTGATGTCATCCTGACAGCCTGAGGCCACAGACCTTATCTCTATTCATAGGCATGGCAGATGGCAGCGATTGGCACCAGCTGACCACGGCTTCCCAAGTGCATAGCTGGGAATTCAGTCTCCCTGCCGCCCTCCCCTGCTGTCTCATCTGGGGTCTCCAGGTCATGCACTGCCAGTATCAAAAAACTCCTGTATCCTTGAAAATCCCTAATACCATGAAGGAATGAAAATGCATAACAATGTGATGCATCACGTTTTACTCCTCAGACTAGTAAAGAATGAAAGCTAAGGGTAGCCAGGGTGTAGGGACACAGTCACATCTGTGGACTAGGTGTGAATGTAAGCTGGGTTCAATGGTCTTTTAGAGGAAAAGCTGTGAACATGTTAAGAAACTTCTGAAATCATTTATCCCACAAAAGTGGAAGTAAAATTCAACTTTTTTTTTTTTTCCTGAGATGGAATCTCATTCTGTTGCCCAGGCTGGAGTGCAGTGGCCCAATCTTGGCTCACTGCAACCTCTGCCTCCTGGGTTCAAGCGATTCCTCTGCCTCAGCCTCCCGAGTAACTGGGACTACAGGTGCACGCCACCATGCCCAGCTAATTTTTGTATTTTTAGTAGAGACGGGGTTTCACCATATTTGCCAGGCGAGTCTTGAACTCCTGACCTCATGATCCACCTGCACTAGCTTCCAAGAATGCTTGGATTACAGATGTTAGCCACCGTGTCCAGTGGTAAAATTCTACTTCTAAGGAGTTGCCCAATAAGCTGTTGCACATGGACATGTGGACACAAGATACATACAAGGGTATTTAGTACAATGCTGTTGGAATTAGCAAAGGCAAAGTCATGATGGGATCTCACCAGCTGCCCCTAGGAAGCAACAGTGAATTAAACTGTGGCTTATCCACACAGGAAAACACAATACCCTTGTTAAAAAGAAGATCAGGCCAGGTGCAGCGGCTGACGACAGTAATCCCAGCACTCTGGGAGACTGATGCAGGTGGATCACGATGTCAGGAGTTCCAGACCAGTATGGCCATCATAGCAAAACCCCGTCTCAACTGAAAATACAAAAAATCAGCCAGGTGTGGTGGTGTGCACCTGCAATCCCAGCTACTCAGAAGGCTGAGGTAGGAGAATCTCTTGAACCTGGGAAGCAGAGGTTGCAGTGAGCTAAGATCGTGCCACAGTACTCCAGCCTGGGTGGCAGAGTGAGACTCCATCTCAAAAAAAAAAAAAAAAAAAAAAAAAATCAACCTGAATGTACTGCTGTAACACATCTAATGTGATTTATGTTAGCTCCAAAATTTTAAAAAGCTATTGTGCATTGAAATGCATTTAATAAGGAAAGACTGACAGAGGGATTAAAGCCTCCTTTGGGACATATAGAGCTCATATTCCCAAAACTGTGAAATTCAGGCTGCTGACCTTGTGTACACAGGTCACCCACACATTCTCTCTTCAGGACCACTGTCCGGACACAACCATTCCTCCAGCTGCCTTCATGGAAGGTCCACCCACTATAAACTAATTTAGAAGTCAGTTGTTGGCTGGGAATGTTGGCTCATGCTTGTAATCCCAGAACTTTGGGAGGCTGAGATGGGCAGATCTCCTGAGATTGGGAGTTCAAGACCAACCTGACCAACATGGTGAAACCCTGTCTCTACTAAAAATATAAAAAATTAGCCAGGCATGGTGGTGTGTGCCTCTAATCCCAGCTATTCAGGAGGCTGAGGCAGAAGAGATGCTTGAACCTGAGAGGCAGTGAGTGCAATGGGCTGAGATAACGCCATTGCACCCCGGCCTGGGCAAGAAGAGTGAAACTCTGCCTCAAAAAAAAAAAAAAAAAAAAAAAAAAAAAAAAAAAAAAAAGTCAGTTGTGCAATTTTTGAGAGGTGAAAATGTTACTACTTTTCTGAATTTAGCACTAATTTTTTGAAAGAAAACATGCAAACTCTCATCATTTCTGTAACCTTGTTTTGCCCTTCCATCTTTTTTTTTTTCTTTTTTCTGATATTATATAAGGAACCTTAAAAAGCGCTGTTGGCAAAAACCTCCATCACTCTGAAAAAGTCCCGGATATCTGCACATTTCATTTATAATATGTCTTTATTGTGTACACCACTACCAATCTCAGTTTCCAAAGACAACTCACAAAGAAATTACACCTTTTATGCTGAAGGAAGGGGCCAGCCCCTGGTCCCCTGTGGGAAGCAGAGGGGACACAAGGTGGCAGAGCTAGACACTAATCGCAAGCAAGTTGGTTAAGTGCTTCCTGACACTTTCAGAGCAGAGAAAAAGAAAGCTGCAAAAGACAGCACTGGAAAGAAAGCCTTTTCACTGGCTATTAACCCCATCACCAAGAAAAACGTTTAACAATATAAACATAGCGTCAGCTGGGCGCAGTGGCTCACGCTTGTAATCCCAGCACTTCGAGATGCCGAGGCGGGAGGATCACGAGGTCAAGAATTCGAGACCATGCTGGCCAACATGGTGAAACTCCATCTCTACTAAAAACACAAAAATTGGCCGGGCGTGGTGGCTCAAGCCTGTAATCCCAGCACTTTGGGAGGCCGAGGCGGGTGGATCACAAGGTCAAGAGATCGAGACCATCCTGGTCAATATGGTGAAACCCCGTCTCTACTAAAAATACAAAAATTAGCTGGGCGTGGTGGCGCGTGCCTGTAATCCCAGCTACTCAGGAGGCTGAGGCAGGAGAATTGCCTGAACCCAGGAGGCGGAGGTTGCGGTGAGCCGAGATCGTGCCATTGCACTCCAGCCTGGGTAATGAGCGAAACTCCGCCTCAAAAAAAAAAAAAAAAAAACACACACACACACACACAAATTAGCTGGGCATGGTGGTGGGTGCCTGTAGTTCCAGGTACTCAGGAGGCTGAGGCAGAGAATCGCTTGCACCCAAGAGGCAGAGGTTGCATTGAGCCACTGTACTCCAACCTGGGCGACCAAGAAAGACTCCCTTTCAAAAAATAAAATTTAAAAAAATATATATATCTATATAATTAACTTTATAAATACATATATATATAGATATAAACGGGTTAATTTTATTAACTAAAGCAGGCGTCCCCAAACCATGGCGGCATGCAGCCCCTGACGCCATTTATCCGGCCCCCGCCGCACTTCAGGAAGGGGCACCTCTTTCACTGCTGGTCGGTGAGAGGAGCACAGTATGTGGCGGCCCTCCAGCGGTCTGAGGGACGGTGAACTGACCCCCTGTGTAAAAAGTTTGGGGACGCCTGAACTAAAGAAAGAGGCAACCTCTCTGCGGCTTCCTGAGGTTTCACTCAGAAGTTTCCCTCTTGACTCCACCCCTCCATTGATTCTGGAACTTTCTATGGGGCAGCTCAGCCTGGTCCTCGCGGCACCGGACAGCCAGCAGGAGCGCGCGCTCTGCTCCCTCGCGGCGGTGTCGCTCCAGCCCAGCGCGGGGACCCAGTTCTTCCCGAACTCCGATGATGGCCTCGTCCCACCAGGCATCGCCAGCCGCGGGCGATCCAGGCCAGGCGTCCGCGCCGCGACCCCCTCCCCCCCACCCCTTGGCCCCTCCCGGCCCCCGTCAGGCGCGCTCTTTCCAGCCACCGACCGCGGCGGGACTCACCAGCAGCTGGACCTCGAAGAGGAAGATGACGAGCGGAAGGGTCTTGGGGCCCGCAGCCATACCCGGTTCCCGCACCGTCCTGGGTCCTGGGTCGCGCCCTGCTCAAGCCGTCGAGGCGGCCGGGACACTCTGTCCCCGAAGTGCCACGAGAAGGAGGGGGGAGGTTCTTCATCACCTGAACTTTGGGTCAAAAGGCCCCAAATCAATCAGAAATCGTCCGGAAATCCTCCCCGTCGTGGTGCTTCCGCGCGGAGAACTTCCCACGCCTGCGCCGCGCCGTCCGCTTTTGAGGGCGTGGTCTCTTGTAGTCACTCGGCGCAGTCCTGGGAGGGGTGGGTTTGTGGGCCCACGGAAACTGGTTCTGGCCGGCTACGGTGACCCGGGGTCTGTGGTTTGATTTCGGGTCCTGCCCCGGCCATGGACAGCACGAGGGAAGGAGCAGAGGAGCCTGCTCCGTCCCCAGGACGCCTGTCTCTCCTCTTCTTAACCTGAGCTCCCTCGTGGCCTCAGCACATCAGTCCACTCAGCCTCTGCTCCCACTGCCTCCTCCCACAGCCGCCTCACTGACCACTGCACTCATGGCGCTACCTCCAGCCCCCTTGCTGCTCCCACCCAGCTCCAAGCTTCTCTGGCTGGGGCTTGGCACCCCTCAGTAGCAGATGCCTGGCACCAAGGAGGGGACCAATGAACCCATGAGTGGACAGAATGAAGGACACACAGGCCATGACAGGCACACGCAGAGGCTGAGGAGTAGGTAGGAGGGAGAGGAAGCCCTGCGGCATCCCTAGCCACAGCCTGGCACCCATTGTGTGGTCAAAGCACAGATAAGCCCAGATTGACCTTGAGGGCTCTAGTATGGGGGCAGAGGAACCAGGGGAGTGGCTTCCACAGCCTGTTCCCAA